TTATAATAAAATTATTATTAAATTACTACAAATTAAGAAACGAGAAATAAATTCGTATAAATTCTTTCGAAGAATAAATCAAAGCAGTATTCACACAAACAGAAATAATTTTATTTTTTGGAGGAATAAATTCGGTAAAGAAAGGATTTTCGTACTCACTGTTTGAATTGTAGGCAACGCCGCTAGCAGCCTTCCTGGCGTCAGGTACACACACAGCGTGGCTTGGTTTTTGGATGATCTGCTCGTCGTAGGTACGCGTGCACTTAAGAATATTGGAACTGGAACTGTCTGTTTTCGCGTATGAAATCACTTCGAATTTAACGTTTATTGTTTATTTAAGCCGATCACTGTTATCCGGCTCGAAGGACCATTATATGTATATGAATAAGTGGACTGTATATTTTCTCATTTGTTCGAATTAAAACGCATTTACGCTTTCGTATAACGTTTATTTATTTGAATTTTACAATGTGAATTAGATATGTGTCTTCACACCACGGCGGTCGGTGAAGCTCTCCTCGCCTCTCGAATAGAAGCCGGGACCTCGGCACATCGGGTTGGAAAGCTGCGTTGCCGATGTTCGCAGTCTCTAACAATGCCCTTCGTACATATGATGCCGTATTATACACGTCTAAGTTCCTTAGATTACACAGGTTTACAAAAAAAAATATTTTTTTAAAATTGTTTGGAATTTAGTAACTGATTTTTATGTATTTTTCAGCGCTGATTGCAAAAATGCAATTCATTTTTTTCTATCACGTAAGGTTTTCTCACAAAAAAGGAATTACTTTTTGGTATAATAACAAAAATTTTAGCAATTTTTCAAATTTTTTCTTAAGTTAAAGGATTTTATTTCATGTATAATACATATTATAAACTACATATCTAATACACTTACATTTCTCTTTAAGCTCATAAGTCCTTATAGTAACGCTTTTGCTTTCCGTCGAAGCTTCTTTTATTGCTTTTCCGGCTGTGTACCCGTTGAGGGTCATCTCGTTTTAGCATCCAGCAGTAGTCCGCTATCATGTTGACGTTCCATCTTCCTTGATACCTTCTTTCCATTTCCTTGATATCTTGGTGGAATCTTTCACCCTGCTCTTCACTTACATCACCAAGGTTTGCAGGGAAGTAGTCTAGATGTGAATGGAGGAAATGAACTTTAATGCTCATGTTACATCCCAGCTTCTTAAAGTTGTCGAGCATGTCTGCGACGATTGTCTTGCAGTTAGGATCTTTTTTGTTTCCTAGGAAACCGGTAACAACTAGTTTAAAAGATGTCCATGCTGCTTTTTCGTTTGTTTCCATTTTGTCCATAAAATTGGGATCTCTCATCAGTTTTCTAATGTCTGGTCCGACAAAGACTCCTTCCTTTAGTTTTGCCTCGGATAAACCAGGAAACTGTCCACAAAGATACTTGAAACACTCCCCTTCTTTTGGCAACGCCTTTACAAATTGTTTCATTAACCCCAACTTAATGTGGAGTGGTGGTAGTAATACCTTTTTGGGATCCACAAGGCTTTTCCTCTCAACATTTTTAACCCCCATCTGTAAGGTTTTTCTCAAGGGCCAAACTTTTTAATGTAGTGTTGCTTTCTGTCTCTACTGTCCCATTCACAGAGAAAGCAAGGGAACTTTGTATAACCACTTTGTTGACCAAGCAGCATTGAGATCACTTTCAAATCACCACATAGTGTCCATTTATGGTCTGAATAGCAGAGTTTGTTTAAAACCAGTTCGAGGTTTTCATAACATTCTTTCAAGTGAACAGAATGTCCAACTGGCATAGAAGCATACTTATTGCCATTGTGTAGAAGCACTGCTTTAAGGCTTCTTTTTGAAGAATCTATAAAAAGTCTCCACTCATCAGGAGCATATTCTATTTTGAAACGTGCCATAAGTCCAGGAACATCACTGCAAAACACCAAGTCACCTTCTTGAGAGAAAAAAGATACAAACTTCTTTTCCCTGGAACGATACCAAGAAAAGGACGTACCCAGAGCCAACATATTTTTATCTTTTAATCTAGACCCTAAAAGTTCTGCCGAGTCTTTAGGAAGACCTAGGTCTCTAACTAAATCATTCAGTTCAGATTGTGAGAATGGAACGGGATCGGTTGTGCCAGGATCGTAGCCATCACTGTCTTCTTCACTTTCACCTAGCTGAGCCAATGGCTCGTGGTCATCTAAAATACCATCCAAAGAAACTGGAGGAGAGGGTATTGGTACTTCAGGTCCATGAGGAACAGGGCGAATGGCTGATTTGATGTTAGGGTAAGAAATATCCTTTTTGTTTTTCAAATTGAAACCTTGAACATTGCAAGAACAAAAATAGCAGTCATCACTATGGTTTTTGGGCTCCCTCCAAACCATTGGTATTCCAAAACGAAATGACTGCTTTTTACCTTGAAACCATTGTCTCAGTTCTTCAACACACACTGAACAAACTTTGTGTGGGCCCAAGACTTGTCTTGATCACCCAACTTTATACCAAAATAGGCAAAATATACATTTTCAACAAAATCGGAAATATTTCTTTGTTGCTTTTTAACTGTATAGTTACCACAAATTTAGCAGAAGCAATCTGGTGAGTTGATACATCCTCTGGTAGCCATTTTTCATAAAACAACTTCACACCACAAGAAAACAATCTGTTTAGGCTGATGCCTTGAATTTATGTTCTTTGTAGTTCGATAAAAAATCACTGAAAGTTATTTGATTCACACTTTATTGCCAACTATTCGTGTGTCACGAGATATTATTTAATACTACTCTCACAATCACTACTACAAATCACTAGTAACCACAGCACGTGAACAGCACAGAGTGAAGAGATACTGTGAACTGAAGAACAGGTAGCAGAAGCTCACTGCTTGGTGATGGAGAGGGGGATGGGCACTGTGGCAGACAGGCACTGACATAAAAGATGCTCAGTGAGTCAGTAAGTGGATGGCGAGGGAGGGGAGGCAATGGACAAGTACCGACATGAAAATAATGCTGGTTTCTCCTAATCAACTCTTTATTTTACATACAACTTGTATAGTAAAAAACAGCTAAGTAACTGAAAATACCTTAAAGTATTTTTTACACTTATTAAAAGTACTATGGGCTTAATAAACAGTTCATAAAGATCCAAAAAACAAAAATTCAAACTCACTAGAGTACGGAACTATGTATAAAAATATCGAAAAAAAGTTAAAAATAGACAAGCATTTTGTGGAATAACTGTACGTGATAGAATGTTTTCACTATTTTTCCCAAAATTAGCGTTGAAAATACTATAAAAATCACTTATTCAATTTTAAACAATTTTTATGTCGCAGACCTGTGTCATAAGAGGTATTACTTCTGCTTTGAGCCTTGGTAACACTGAGCGTTAACATCTGTCATCTGACAATTCTACTAGACGGAACGATATTTTTGATATAACTTTCTTCGGAAACGTTTTATAGCTTGTGAAGATTGGTTTAAAAACTCGCTGATCACAAACTTGGAGTCAAAGAGTGTAATAGTGCTTGCTTCCTCTCATTTTTGGTAACTCACTAAGATATCAAATACATTTTTTTCTATTCAAGAAAGCTCCGCTGAGGAGCGGTCGTGTTAATGAAGCTGCAGTTAAATGCTCCATGTATCAAAAAGTAGCACAAAGTGGTCTTACGTGTACCAAATGTGGAATTTTATCGCATAGTTGTTTAAAGCAATTAAAATACGTTAAATATATTGATGATGAAACAGTGATATGTTGTGAAGAAAATGTGAGGTTAAATGATCGAACAGACGAAATTTTGGATACAGAGTTTAATGATGAGGATCCAAAGTGAATGGTAATCAGGTATCTAAAGAAAATTATAAATCAGAATGAAGTAATCATATCAAATTAGCAAATTATTATAATTTCGCTAAAAGAACAATTAGATTTAATTATTGTTATAAAATTAACAAATCAATCGCCATCTATACAACAAAATGTGAGTTTAAATACTTTAAATAATTCAAATAAAAACCTAAATAGTGAACGAAGAAAACAATTAATTATTAAAGCATATCCAAATAGCGAAAAAACTGTAACCGCAAAAACAATTGGTGTTGATAAAAGCCCAGATGTTGTTAATGATCGTAGTAGAACCATGTCCAGAGAAAAATCACAACACATGGCACCACGGCCCAACCGAAGATTCTCGATAGGTACCCGAGCAAGCCAGACGATACAATAGTTCAATCTTTTCATTCATCTTTTAAGGTAACTATTAACCAGTCAAATTCCATGTGGGGTTGGCAAAGAGACATCTGGTATAGAGGATCATTGGATCAAAAAGTTTTTTGTCAGCAAAAGGATACCACCACCGACGAATGCAACAGTGGATCCTTCAAATTAATGAATCACGAAAACTCAGGTGAACACTTAGTTTCACCATAGTACACCATATTCGGTCAATAAATATTTAGTGAGATAGATAAATGTTGGAGGAAACAAAACTTGTTTTTTGTTGTTTTATTCAATACATATGATTTAAAAATTTTTATCTTGCTTATGTATAAGTATTTTAATTGTATATTTTTACTTTTGTATTTCTTGTATTGACACTATTCACTTTAATTGGTATTACACTATTACACTATTTATCGTGTATTTGTTTGTAAACCGATTCTTGTGAATAACGATATTTCTATTCATCTTCAAAGAAAGCTGAACTGCAATTAAACAAATTATAAGCCCTAGAAAGAATTGCCGAAAAGCATGGACACACTATATTGAGACTTAAATATAGTAAATAAATTTCTGAACGCTCTTAATGGTCTTACATGTTATGTTTTGGAAATAATTCGTCCTGTGTCGAACAAACTCTTTGAGAGTTAGTTCAAACACTTTAAAAAGTGTATTAAACTTAATGAAAAGTACTTTTTTTAAATAAAATCTTGTAAATACACTCCCTATACGGTATAATAAATAAATTTTAAAAATAAAGTTATACGAAAACATAATTATTACACGATACTTACACTATCCACTTGCAGATTAGTCCTGATACCAATCTTAGTAAAATTGTTCGTCACCAACAGATCTAGATAGTTCAGAAGGGCATCACAGGTTCCTTTGGCTATATTTTCGGATACTCTAGAAATATCTACGGGATCTTGATTTTTTGGACTGTCATCGCCGTTCTGGATAATGAACACTTCCGTCCATCTTATTATTCTGTTTCCGCTCGCGCAGTAGTTCTTGCCGTTGTGGACTCGAATGGAGGGAATGCCGTTCAAGGGCATGCCGTCAATGGGTGACGTTACACTAAATCACACAAAAAATTTACTTTATTATATAAAAACTTATTGGTTTACAAAACATGGTATAGTTTTATACCCAATCTCGGGTTGTATCGCAAGAAATCCTGCTACGAATAAAAAATATCTCAAACGGGTTAACCAACACACTCATAAGAACATAACCTTTGAGGAGTCGATCTGAGCTGTGTTCTTTGTGCCATGTAAGCATTAAAATAGGCAACCAATAATACAGTTACCGTGACGTATTCAGATAAAAGAAAAAGGCAGGAAAAATGGATCAGATAATAAGAAAGCTAGAAATAATGCGATAAAAAACTAGATAAATTAGAAAACTTTTAATCAAAGCTTGATAGGAATGTTAAGATATGGAAAACGATAATTAAAAAACAAAGTCGAATTACAGGAAGAAAAAAGTCAATATAATAGAACGCGAGTTGATGAAGATAAATCTCATTATCCATGGGTTAAAGGAGAAAGACGTTAGACGGAGAAAGTTAACTGGGAAGAGAAAGACCTGAACATTGTCTGTAGAAGATTATCAAATTTGGAATTATCAGACGACATAGTTTTGTTCTCAGACAACTTCAAGGAGATAATGTACAATGCTACATGAACTTCACTTAGTGTGTGCCAGTGTGGGTCTCAGAATAAACATCTCCAAAACAAAATGCATGACAAACCTAGTACCTAACGGAAATATCAATACGGAAAGAACTTGACTTCGGCAATATTAATCATAGAATTTGAGGATTTAAACTTATTGAATTTCACTCCACCCTTTTGTATGCAAACGTTCTTATTCAGACAGGAAAATCTTACGAGGTAGTCACCACAATAATGAGTAACAGTAAATATTATCAGAAAGTCTTATTTTAAATTAGAAAGCAGCTGAATCTTACCCTATATTGAAGTTAACATCGTTCTCGCCCCAAACAATGTTCACCGTCTCGTCTGAATCGGCGTCGACGCATCCGCAAGGTATCGTGTGGTTTTTCATGGCTCTAAGACTGTCTCTGATTTGTTGCATGTGCTCCGGTAACACCTGAATCATCAGTCCATCTTCGACAATGTTGGATTTGGCCGTTAAACCGCTGGAAGACTTCAATGCTCCGTTGAAAACTATGAAACTTGCGCCAGTAACTAAAAAATAACATTTTGCATTTATTTACCACCAAATATAGCTTCCAAACTTCAACCATCGACTGAGGTATCATAAAAAATATAAAACGTCATTACCACTACAGAATTGTCCAGAAAAATGTTAATGCAATTAATAATACACAGGCCTACATTTTTTTTTTCATGAAAAAGTGTTTTAAGTTTAATAGCTGTCCTATAGTAAATGGTATATAGTCCAGGCTGTGAGGCCGCTCCCGTTGGGAAAATGTTTCTGATTCGGTTTCTTCGCGGATTCCGGTTCAAAAATGTCCCCTTTAAACAAATCTGAAGGGTGCCGGGCGAAATTTTTGGGCAGAAATTGTTTAAACAATTTTTTTAAATAAAGTCCAAAAATAATTTTTTTTTAATTTGGAAAATGTTTTTTAGGTTTTTTGGGCCATTTTAAACAAAAAAAGTTTCTTGTCATTTTTCTCTAAAGTTGATAGTTTTCGAGTTATAAGCGATTTAAAGTCTCAAAAACGCGAAAATACGCATTTTTTAGGCTTGAAAACACATATGTAAATTATTATTTTTGAGGTTACCAAGTGTCTAAATCAAAGTTTTAACATTCAACTTCAAGATTGTGAAGAGTAATCGGGGCTTATTTTAATTTAGACCGTTGTTTTTTAATTGTTAAGTATGCGCGTACACTCGATTTTTCAGCCGCCGCGGCGCCGCGCGCTACCGTGCTCCTCTATCGTACTTATGCATAGTTTACATATACTTACAAATAATTATTATTTATTGAGTATATATTTATTTATATAAATTGAGTTATAATATAAATTTCGTCTAAAGTCTAATAATAGTTACATAAAATAATTGTACAAAAGATTGTTAAATAACACACTAATATCACTCAGCAAAAGTATCTTTGTTTTCACAAAAATCTAAATCACATCCACATAATGGTACACAGTTGACATGATTTTTCTTGCAGTTGGAAGCATTAGTTTTGCAAGTCTTTTTGCATTTGCACGGTTTCCCAACCCACCACTATCAGACATATAATATCCATATTGTGTAAAATCGAGAGTTTGATAGCGGGAATATTTGGCATTTCGCCAAATATATGTTTTAGCGGAAGCTCTTAACAAGTGTTGGTAAAGTGCGTCAGAGGTACAAGGTATATTGGCTAGATTAAATTAAATTTTTCAGTCACACTGTCTTTTCGTCGAAGAGCAGCATTTTGTATTGTTATGTAAAAATCTACTTTAGGTTTTTGCACTAACTTAATATTGTTGATGTTATTACAAAAAATACAAACTAAATTTTCTTCGGTAAGTTTTCATTTAAGAAGAGGTATGGAAAAAGACATTTTAAATCCATTCACAATTTTTTTAATAACACATTAATAATATAATACCCTTTTAATGGGCATTAAACAATAGTCTTCCTAATGATCGTTTAAGTAATAACAAATCAAGTGTGAGCGCGCGATTGTTAAACAGATATTAATATTTACTGCATTGTATTATTTAAATAATAATTTAAAAATATTATTTACAATTGATATAAATAAATATATACTCAATAAATAATAATTATATTGTTCAAATTTGGAAGAAAAAAAAACTATATACGGTTATTACATTGTGATGATTGACTTATTTAATTAGCCCAATGACAATAATTAATACCTACATAAATAAATTATGGAAAAAACTATGTTAATAAACTTCAAGGATTTGTTCGGGTTTTTTTGCGTAAGTGTATATGTAAACTATGCATAAGTACGATAGAAGCGCACTCTAGCGCGCCGCGCCGCGGCGGCTGAAAAATCGAGTGTACGCGCATATTTAACAATTAAAAAACAACGGTCTAAATTAAAATAAGCCCCGATTACTCTTCACAATCTTGAAGTTGAATGTTTAAACTTCAATTTAGACACTTGGTAACCTCAAAAATAATAATTTACATATGTGTTTTCAAGCCTCAAAAATGCGTATTTTCGCGTTTTTCAGACTTTAAATCGCTTATAACTCGAAAACTATCAACTTTAGAGAAAAATGACAAGAGACCCTTTTTGTTTAAAATGACCCAAAAAAACCTAAAAAAACGTTTTCCAGATTAAAAAAAAATATTTTTGGAATTTGTTTAAAAAAAATTGTTTAAACAATTTCTGCCCAAAAATTTTGTCCGGCACCCTTCAGATTTGTTTAAAGGGGACATTTTTGAACCGGAATTCGCGAAGAAACCGAATCAGAAACATTTTCCCAACAGGAGCGGGCCCACAGCCTGGACTAATATGCTGATCACGAATCTGTACTTGGTTTTTTTCCAGCACGTCAGGTTTTCAAGAAAAGTGTGTTTGAAATTTTTCATAGAAACTGCCAAAAATACTGTGAAAATATTTATTGAAACTTTATTTAATACAAAATTATCCTGCAAAATTGAGTTGTTTAAAAAAAAATCAATATAACCTACTAGACAATATTTTTTTTTTTAATAAACCGTTCTCTTTTTCCATGAAAACTGCGTCTTGTGGTCTTCTTTTTATGGATTTTTGTCATCGAGTCTCTCTTCAAGGTCCAGCAGTAATCAGCCATCATTCTTATATCCCATCTACCTTGGTAACGTTTCTCCATCTCCTTTATATTTCGATGAAACCTCTCTCTCTTTAGTTTAACTTCACGAGGTTTTTGTCGCACAGATATTTAAAGCAGTCACCTTGTTTATCTAAAGCTTCATCAATCCTAACTTTATGTGAAGAGGTGGCAAAGGAACTAATTTTTAGTCAACTAGTGTATAACCTTGCACTTTTTTTTTGTTCCAGTACAAGTCTTTTTCTGAGTGGCCAGTCTTTCTTAACGTAATGAAAATTTTGTGCTCGACTGTCCCACTCGCACAAAAAACATGGATACTTCGTGAATCCAGAATGCTGACCCAAAAGCATGGATATTATTTTGAGATCTCCATAGAGTTGCCAATAATATTCGCTATACTTTATTTTATTTAGCATCAACTCAAGATTCTCACGTTTCTTTGAGATGCACGGAGTGAGTAACAGGTACTGAGGCATAAGTATTACCAGTGTGCAACAAGACAACCTTCAGACTTCTTTTAGAAGAATCAATAAGTAACCGCATTGATGTGGAATCGTAATTGTCAGCTCCCAGATTCATGACTACTTCAGGAAATATGACAATACACCAGTGAGCCCTCTTGAGAAAAATATTCGGCGAAATATTTTTTACGATGCCTACCACGAAAATGTGGTACCTGGAGCCAATAGATTTTTATCTTTCAGTCGTGATCCTATGATTTATACAGCTTCCTTCGATAGGCTCAAGCCTCTCACTAAGTCATTGAGTTCAGCTTGGATAAGCTTTTGAGGTTGGTCGATCTTAGGATTGAATTCGTCTTCATCAGTTTTTTCGTCTAAACTTTCATCTGATTTCTGTGGGATGGTGTGAAGAAAAGGTAGAGGAATAAGGATTCCTGGTCCACGAGATACAGGTCGTTTAGCAGAAGGTAAATCAGGATATTGTATTTTGTGTTTATTTTTTGAAATGAAACCCTTGATATCGAAGGAGCAAAAGTAGCAGTCATATCCATGGTTTTTTGATTCCCTCCATACCATAGGAATGCCGAAGGGTAAAGAGTTACGTGTACCTTTTGTCCATTTTCTCAGTAGTTCGACACACTGAAAGCACACTTTGTGTGGAGCCCAAGGTTTGTCCTGATCAACAAGCTTTACCCCCAAGTAAGCGTGATAAGCTTTCTATTGTTAAATCACCACACACGTAACAAAATATATCAGAGCTGTTCTTATACTTTCTTGATGATATTATGGCGCGATAAACACTCATAAAACAAAATACAACTCGATGCTACAAACAACTGACGCTAACGAACTCTATATACGCAATACACAATAAACAAGTCAACTCAAGTTGACGGCATCTGCAGTGTTGCCATTCAAATGAAATTAAAATAATGTATTAAAATATTTTCTTTCGAAATATAAGTATTTTAAAGAAATAATTTTATAATAATTTACGAAATATCAATAAGGTACTTGTTGGCGCTAGTATATAAGTTTTTTTAACTTTGTGAAAAATTTTGACGTGATGGGCTTAAACCGAATTCATATCCAGAATCAGTGTACCCGTATCGGCTAAAGACACATGTCAAACTCAAAACACCAAAAATCATGTCGGCCTATGAATTTTCCGTTTCAAAAATTGATTGCCATTAAAGAATGTACAACGGAAATGTAGTGAAAATGTTACTCAAAAGACTATCAAGAATTGCTTCAGTAAAATATTTTAAGAAGTAAAAAAAGAGAACCAGCTGGATGTAAAAATTCAGCAGACACCGAAGAAAAAAAATAATATCTCAGTACCCTCTCACATAGCTCAAAAAACATCAATAAAGCCAGTAAATTTAAGTACCAATTATTCGCATTATATTTCTACTCTTACTCACCTTTTCTAGGCTTGTTCTGAATATTAATCGTATGAGTTGAATAACAATTTTCATCCCCTTGAGTATCCTGCATGCATATCAAATGCGAGTCAGCAGTTTGACTAAATGTCCCAGCAAATGCTAAGATGTGGTCGCTTGAATTATTTAAAGATTTTATCACCTGAAAATATATGTGTGATAACTATACGGGCACATTTATGAGTAATAAAATGTATGTAAATGTTTACAATTGTAGTTATAGTTTCAATTCAGTAACACAATAATCAGATGGGAGGCCACTGAGATACAGAAACATCCCGTGCGTGTTAATATCAGAAATATAACATAAACTGCGATGTTGTATCCAAATTGTGTGTGGTCTACCAACAATGTGTTTCTCAATTTCACTGTTAAGGTTGTTTTTAACCTTTTGGTCTGAAGATATTTCTTAGAACATTTTCAACTAGAAAATAAATTTAGTAAACTACAGAATAGTAAAGTAGATTTACTATTCTCGTGTGTCTTTGCGAATTTCTATTCAAAACTCTATTCTTTTTCTACGATACTAGTTATTTGTTATTTATGTTTCTTCTTTTTGGCTTCTTTGAAGAACTGAAAAAGAATTTTTTCAATTCTTTTCAGTTCAGAAAAGGTTTACTTATAATCAAAATTTGTGTGATGGAAATAGTTTATAGTTATATATAGTTATATAATAATAGTTCTATTTTACATAAACATTATTATAAAGAGTAACGTTTTTATCCCTATGAAAATGAAATAATCTTTTCAGTGTAAATGGTAGGTTACCTGCATAAGTCTACATAAAATTACCAGTATTTTTAACCTAGAATTTCTCATTTTTACAATTTTTTTAATTACTACTACGAAATTATAGATAAATGTTGCCTCCTAAGGAACTCACTATAATTCCGTGGCTCTCGGGTAAAAGGGCATATCTCGAATTTTTTCCCGAAATGAGTTAAAAATATGAAAATAAAGTAAATTTTCTACTCTCCATTTGGGTAAAAGGATATATCCACAATCTAAATATTTCCATTAGATTTTGACATGTGAAAAGGGAGTCATTGAACAAAATCAACGTTTACAATGGAGTAAAGAGGAATAATTCCAGATATTCGTTAGTTTTCAAATGTATTCAGAAAATAAATTCAGGTAAAATGTTATATTAGCAGATAATTCTCTTTACCTGAATCATATATGAACCAAGAATGCAAGAATTACGAATGGGTAAAAACGGATATCTAGAGATATTTTCATTTAGTGGAATCATATGCACAAAATGATTAGATTATGATTATGGTTAGAGTAAAAGGCGATATTTAGAAATACCTTCATTTACTCAAATTTATTCAGTATAAATGTTTAAATATATGTGAAAAAACGAAGATATCACGACTTACGTTCATTTACTCAAATGTAATAACGGTTATTTCATTAATTTTTTGTTTGACTTAATTTTATTAATCTCTCAACCAAATTGCAAATACTTATTACAAATTTAGTACATAACGAGCCAAAGAAGACAAAAACATTAAAAGAAACAAGAACATCAGTTTCCACAATGATATTTCACAGGTGAACTTGGCAATTAAGTCTCCTGGCAAATACACATGCAACACATGTGATAAGCTAAAAATGAAGATATCTTTAACACTGGATAAAGAAACAGATGCTTTTGAAATCCAGCTGCAGCAGCACCACGACAAGGTAAATCAAGCATAAGAGGCAAAACGGAATGATAAAAGTTTGGTTGATGAGTAGGTATATTAAAACACTTGTATTTGTTTTGCAGCAATGTTTGCGGATTCTCCAACTAGAAACTTCAGTCGTTTTCTACAAAAGGCAACTGTGGGTATTTAATTTAACTATGCACGATTGCACGAATAATCAAGCGCACTGCTACATGTGGAATGAAGTAGTAGCTGCAAGAGGAGCCACATGTGGAGGACAGAATAAGAACTGGCATGTAGCTGCCATGTTCATGTCTGTCATAAACGACCATTCAACTCTAGAAGTGATTGACCACAACTGACTCACACTCATATGGAGTGTGACTGATCATGCTCTGAAGAAAACAATGAAAAAAAAATCAAATATCCCAATCTATCACCCGCACGACTGGATGCAGTTGGTTCGTCAGACGGGGAAGAAAAACCCATTTGTTGTGACAGAAATGAAGCAGCCAGACTTTTTCCAATTCTCTGATTTGTACAAGTCGGCACTTCAAAATAAAGGAGACACTGGATCCGGATTCGTCGTTCAAGACAATAAACTATCGCCGTAGAAGCCGTTTCCGCAGCCATCTGAACCCTGGACTGTCCTACGGTGGTCCTCTCGCAATATCAGCGAATAAGAAGAAGGACCTCATTGACATGCTACCGTTAATACCCGATGTCTTCTACACTACTACTATAGTTCTATTCCATCGGATGAAAACGTTAAAGAAGTCTTACTGGATGGGGAAGAAAGTGATGAATGACCCCTTTCTGCAGCGCACAATAATTTAATTTTAATATTCACCTTCTTTTCCATTCTTGATTACAATAGAAACCATTAATATTAAATAAGCCGTTTTATTAATATCAGCCTTTCAGCATTAAGGTACAAACTATTGTATATGTCATACATAATAACATTTACATTTGAGTAAAAGGATATACAGTATTGGAAGATTCAAAACGGAACATACGAATTATTAATACAATTATTAAGATCCCCTGATCTGCAATTACCCAGTGTAAATTTCAATATAACGTCGCGATGTCTTATAATTAATTCATTTGTTCGACTGGATTGCTACTCCTTGGCGATTTCTAATAGTAGCGTATTCGACAGGTGTAAGTCGACACTGTTGTCTATCGTCCACTGATTTTCTGTGTTTTTGTGCAGATAATAACAATGTTTTATTAATAACAATTTTTTTGTGTTCATTAGATATTATTTGAATTGGTTAGTGTATAGTTTAATATATTTATTATTCTAAATATTGTTGATAATTTAAAATTTAAAAGGATGTATATGATACATCAAAATCTACAGATTTTTGCCGAAGGTATCTATCGATTTGGCAACAGTCCCAAGGAACATCACTGGCCGAGCAAAACAAATACATGCCCTTTGTTTTGCTTCTCATTATAACGCCATAAGCTGAAATAAAAGTAGTGTTTCTAACCATAAACCATGTATACAAACAAAGAAAAAGTACAAATTTTAAAATGGTATTATGGGGGCAACTTGTACCGTGATATTATAAATTTATTTACTTGTGCGTATGAAGATAGGCCAATACCGACACAATCAACTATTAGTCGTATTATTAAGGTGCGCACGTGCGCAGCAGTGGAAAAATATCGACTGGAGAAGGAGTCCAGTCGAACAAATGAATTAATTATAAGACATCGCGACGTTATATTGAAATTTACACTGGGTAATTGCAGGTCAGGGGATCTTAATAATTGTATTAATAATTCGTATGTTCCGTTTTGAATCTTCCAATACTGTATCTGAGTACCCTGGTGAAGAAAACTACTAATAACTTCAACGTAGAATAAGGTATGAATTGTTTATATGCAGCAACAGTTAGTTTATTAGATTCTCTTTCATTATAACATGCCAAACAATGACTAAAGTAACACATTTGATTTTAGAAAAATGTTGAACTTTCAATTTCGTCTCCTGAACAATTTCATTTTGCATAGATATGCCCTTTTACCCGAGAGCCACAGAATTAATTTGAAATATTTAAAGCGGAATGTTAAAGCAATAAAGAAAACGAGTCTTTCAAATTCAAGTTAGTACTAGAAAAAAAGTCACGTGATAACTCACCTGGTCATATCTATTAACTGGAATGGTAAGAGTAGTATTTTTATCCTCCATATGAATGGTCAAGCCGTGTATCTGCGGCAGAGTATATGAAAAGTTCCTAAAATCTGCTAACAAATTAATTATCGTATGTCCAATTTCTACAAACACGCTGTCTCGGTGTCTTGTCGATATCACAGGGCTTGGATAGTACCTACAAATAAAAAACGAGTATTTAACCGAACCGCCTTCAAAGTGTGAATTGAGTTTACTATGTATAATATTGAAATTCGATATTAGTGTACGTTACAATGCTAAATCTATCGAATTTTTTATTACCTACTATAATTAATGGGAATAAAATAAAATTTTTATTGAAAATTGAAAAAATCGTTAAACAGGATGACAATTGGCAATAGGACGATTTTGAAATAAATGGTATACAAGAAATTTGCAAGAAAATACTATTTTATTAACATCAAAATGAAGCTTATATCAGAAAACTACGAACACAGAGAAGCGACACGAGCACCGAAATCCGTGTACCGTTTTTGTATACGCATGCCCGAACCTGGTTGCTTTACTGTCAAAAACACGTGCTTATTCTTCAACTCTGGTTGTTTACGATAGTCCGTAGGCGCCTGTGGTAAATACTCGACTATACAAGTGCATTTGACCATTTATCTAATTTACTTAGTAGTTAAAATTTATAGTTATAGTTTATAGCTATAGGTAAAATATATAAGTTAAATATATAAGTTTATAGTTATAGTTTATAGTTAAAAGTGTAATTTATAAGTATTTAAAATGTCTTCTGGTTATTGTTATGCGATTCGCGGATGTTCATCTGTGACAGGAAACGAAATAAGTTTATTTATATTTCCTAAGAATAATAACAGGTAATTACTATTGCTTTGTAATTATTATTAGTTATTACATAATAGTATTAGTTTGACTTTCGAACAGTAAGCCGACGCCGACGTATCCGTCCGAGCTCTCGTTAAGTGGAGCAATAAAAAAAATAAACTTTGGTCTGCCAAGGGATAGTTCAAAATTAAAAACATTAAATTTATTATCTCCGGAGGCTCAGGTCAAAAAATCAACAGATGTTGGCCTGGTGTGAAAGCGCTCGAAGACGACAATACGAATATAGTATTTTTAGTAAATAAAAATATATATATAGAGGGTTTTATACACGAGAATATTTGATTTAAACGAAACAAAGAAATTTCTAAAATGCTCAAATTAAAAATTGTTGGAAACATAGCTCTCAACAACACTGTTAACTAATGTTTGCAGATCTTCTGGAGTAGAAGCTAGGAGTACTGTATCGTCCGCATATCGCAAATTATTTATGAAGTCACTGTTCATAATTATTCATTCTTGTTTTTCAGAAAGTGCATTTCTGAACATTCTTTTGGAGTAAACGGCGATGTGATTCCAAACCGTCTACTAAAACTTATGTTTCATTTCAATACAAACTTGCAATTATGCGAACGTCTCTGCCAATCAAACCAATGTTTTTTAGAACTTCGATCAATATAAAGTACTTAATAAGATCAAAGGCCTTTCGGAAGTCCCAAAAATCATGGGCGTACAACAGTACGCCCAAAGAAAATATGTAATCCATCATTTTGTTGGCGGCCATTTTGAATTTTTTATAATGAACTCTTTTCTACTAGTCAAGCCCTTTCATTTGATACCCATATTGAAGTAGTTGTGAAAAAATATTTAATCCGCTATTGTGTAGCGGCGTCCATCTTGGATATACAATGATACTGAATGTATGTAGTGTATGTATAGTCGGTTCGCTAATCTTAGACACAACTATCTAGTATTTTAGTAATTATTTTATTGCGAAAGTTAGTTACATTTTAACAGACTAGAAGAGGATGACAATTACTATATTTACAACCAAGCACACATGCTCATAGCCAATATTAAGAGTAAACAGACATAAATCTTACTCCAATCAATCATTATTTATTTACACCATAATATAATTCCACAACAGACAACGGAAGATTTGACCAATTATTTAAAGGTAAATGTTCCAAATATACATTTCTACTTCAAGAAGTTAAAGGTTACGGAGTACCAAGCAAGCTTTAAAGTTTCATATCCATTGGATTATAAAAATTAAGTTCTCAATCCCAGTATCTGGCCTGAAGGTTCAATGGTTCGTCGTTTTGACTTCAAGTATAAGAATTGTACTAATCGCAGTTAACAACAAAACCAGAAATAATTGTTACAAATCCGGCTTAGGCAAACTAGATACTACAAATAATTTTAAAGGCAATACCAACTTCGGGCACCTCAGTCTCCATAATCTGGATTCCTTCGCACGTAGGTGTTATTGGTAACGAGAAAGCGGACCAAGCGGCGAAAGAAGCTAATTGCCCTGATCATCCAGTCGAAAGGATACAGCTCCATCAGGACCTAAAATATCTCTTCAGGCAATCAGTTTTGGAAAATTGGCAAGATCAATGGAGTAGAAGCACATCCAAATTACACCAAATACAACCAATAATTCGACCACTGCAAATTCCCATACAAAAAAGAAGAGACAAAGCGATAATCAGACGAATAAGAATAGGACACACTCGTCTCACGCATGGTTACTTCATGAGTTCTGGAAATCCACCAGTCTGCGAACGCTGCAACAACACGCGGCTTTCCATACAGCATATCCTACTTGAATGCAGTACTTTCAGCTGCACCCGACGACGGCATAACATTAGTGGTACCCTTAGTGATATACTTAGTTCACCTGGTTCAATGAACTCTTTGATTATTTTTTTAAGAGACTCTAAATTATATAATTTAATATAAAATATTTACGAATTTTGTAAAAGTACCAAAACTGTAGCTTAATCATATATTGTAAATACCGATTTTGTTTGTTCCCGTGTCAATGACCATAGTTGTCGAGACACGTAAATTTAAATAAAAAAAAAAAGGCAATACCAATCAACTAAAAATCGTATGTATTAACTCTGAATCTACTGTAAACAAAATAAATTGTATCTAAATATTACTTAAAACTAAAAGTCTGGATTTATTATGTATATCCGAATCATGCTGTAATGACAATAATATAAATTCTTTTTATCTTCCTAATGCTCTCTTGTAATGATTCTTAATACTTTTTTGATTATTTTTTAGGTTATTACATTTTTATATTTATAGAAATATACTCGTACAATAGTTACTTCTTGATTTTTCATTCGTTTTAGTTGAATATCGTTTACTCCGATATTCGACTTTAAAGGAAAAATGTAATTTTAATAGGTTTCCAAGACATTAACAATCGATATCAACATAAAGTTTCTTGTTGTCGATCACAAACATTTGTCACCCAAAGAGAATTGGAATTTTTAGAGTTTGTGAAATTTCCGTACCAGTTAGAATGGCTTTGTTATTTTTCGATTATATTACGAAAGATAATTGATTAGGAAATTCCACGACGAACAAATTATATCTTGTATCAACACAAGCCAAAAAGAATCGGTGTATTATTGGTCTATCAATGCCAACATCAGAATAAACAAAAAAGTATTTTCATCTATGGTTCCATCAATACGATTTTCACCATTACTTTGCGTTGTGCGATGTATTTGCAACCTTTTGTAAATCAAAAATAGTTACACCATTTAGAATGTCAACAAAAGCCGGCCCTGCATGTAATTATTTTTTCAGTGCAATATTTCATATTTATTGAAAGTCAACATAAATGCTCAATTTTATTTAAGAATTTATATTGTGTGATATGCCCACTGACTATTAGTTAGCTGGTTGCTTTCCTGTCATTGGCACTCATTGGCGGCTTGCACACGCAACTTCAAGGGAGTCGCTTCTCTGTGGTCGTTAGTTCTCTGCTTATATTATGCCATTTACAATCTAATTAAGTACGGACAATTACTTTGATGACCCAATAATGTCATCAAGATGATGACCATTACGTTGGATGCAGTTTTCCGTCCTCTATAAATCCTGAAATTCTCCATAACACGCTCTAACATGACTCGATCAATAGTCAGGAGTTCCTAGCGAATTGCGTTCTTCAACTCGATGAAATCACTAGGCTTGCTAGCGTATACACGACTCTTAATAGCCTCATAGAAAAAAAAATCACAAATTGACAGGTCTGGAGACCTTGGAGACCACGGCAAATCTTCTTAACGTGAAATAAGTTGTCCTGGGAACAGGTTGCGGAGAATATTCATGGAATCATAGGCAGTATGTGCCGTGGCACCATCCTGCTGAAGCTACACATTCCTTGGGTTCTGCATAAACAAAAAATTACTTACATGCCGGTACAAGAATTTATGCCGTTTATTTAGTTGCAACAACAATGTTTTGTTTATTTACTAATTTATTGCAATTCAACAGATTATTTTATACCAATTTGTAGGTTTTATTTTGTGTGCTTAAACAATTTATTCATATTAAAAAACACAGACATGTAATATTGGCATAATTACTGTATTTTTATCTTTATCTTTATAAGACAGCACCCTAATATCATCATCATCAATGGTGCTACAGCCCTATGAAAGAGCTTCGACCTTCCCAAGTCTATTACGCCAGGCAGTCCTATCCATTGCCAATCGTTGCCAGTTTGCTGCGCCTATCTTTCTACCATCCTCATCTACACCATCCTTCCATCTGAGTTTAGGCCTACCCCTTTTTCTACTTCCCACGGGTTGTGACATAAGGATTCTTCTAGGAGGGTTGTTCTTCTGTGATCTTGCTAGATGTCCTGCCCATCTTAGTCTTCCTATTCTTATAAGAGATACTACGTCTTTACCACCAAATATTTGTTTATATCTGTGGTATACCTCGTAGTTGTATCTCCTCCTCCAAACACCATTTTCACAGATGCCACCAAATATTCCTCTCAGGATTCTTCGTTCAAATATAAGCAGAAGGTCTTCGTCTGCCTTGGAGATGGTCCATGTCCCCGATCCATATGTCAACACTGGCTGTATAAGGGTTTTGTATATGGTTATTTTTGTTTTTTGGCTTAAGTTTCTACTTCTCATATGTCTACTCAGTCCAAAATAGCATCTGTTTGCCATTATTATCCTTCGCTTGATTTCTTCCGTTATGGCGTTCTCTTTGGTGATCAGGGAGCCTAAGTATGTGAATTTGTCCACCACTTCAAAGGTAGAGTTATCAACCGTGAATTGGGGACCGATGTTCATGACTCTATTGTTGGGTGTTGATGCCATCATCTTGGTTTTCTCCTCATTTACTTGCAGGCCCATAGATTTTCAGGCATTTGAGAAGGTGGTATACATTTCTTCTAGCTTGCGTGTTGTGCGGGCAATTAGGTCCACATCATCTGCATATGCCAAAATTTGGGATGATTTATTAAAAATATTTCCTCTGTTGTCTATTCGGGAATCTCTGATCGCCTTTCCCAGTGCTATGTTGAAAAGGAGACACGCCAGCGCGTCTCCCTGTCGCAGTCCAACATGCGTTCCAAACGCCTGTGATTGTTCGCCCTGTATTTCGACTTTGCAAACCACATTACGCATTGTAGCCTTAACCAATCTTATCAGTTTATCGGGGATGTGGAATTCATTCATGGCTTCATACAATTTATTTCTTAGAACACTATCATAGGCAGATTTGAAGTCTCCAAAAAGATGGTATGTATCGATATTGAATTCATTGGTTTTTTCCAGTTTTTGCCTTAGCACAAAGATCTGATCTGTTGTTGATCGACCAGGCCTAAAGCCACTTTGATATTCCCCGAGAAGTTCCTCTGAATATGCACTTAGGCGACCATATAAGATCCTCGAAAACATTTAGTGTGCTTTCAGCACCCTAATATGGGCTTTTTATAATTTCAGCATTTAATTTACTTTGTACGATTGACCTGAAGATGCTTTACAAATTGTAGAAAGCGAAACCGGTCGTCTTGGTAGTAAAATTAAACTGATTGTGAGTAAGTCTTATTTTATTTCTTTTTACCTATTTAAACGAGAAGTATAAAAACGTCCACTGTAGTATTAGAACCGACCTAAGTTTGGCTCACGTGTTTTGGTTTATTTCCTATATTATATATTTATACCTATAATACGAATGATGACAATGTGCAAAGATCGAGCGGATCTACGGTACTTACCTATATTCTGCTCCTAATCTCAAAATCAGTCTTAACGGGAAAAGTTTGGCCCACGGCGTCTCCCACCGATGTATTAAAATACCTATCAAAAACGGTTCTTTGGGTTTTATCACATTTTCTAAACATTGGAAAGTGGGCCGAATATAGACGAATCCCGCGTGGTTTTTGGAATCCAAAAAGTTCGATGAATTGTGGAGTGATAGGCCAAGCTCTTTAATTGACGTACCTGGAAGATAATTAAAGAATAAATTACATAATGAATACTGACTTTTGGCTTGTTCCAAATGTAAAGAAAAGAGCAGTACATGGAATAACTGTCTGCACATTTTTATTCCGATTTGTAAAAAAAACAAACTATTTTTATGTTTTCCTTGCTGATGATCCTTAGCTTGGTTTTGCTTGACGAACTTTAGTTCGTCTTCATACAGTAATACAACATAGTAATTATAATGAACTAGATACAATCAAAGATACAACTCACCTTTCACTGCATCCGCATAAACGTTATTAATATGGTAAAAAACATCTTTCGGTACAAACGATTCCTCATCTATATACTCTAAAATAATAACAATCTCGTCCTGTCCAACGTTGATGAGTCCTTCTGTAGAAAAGCACCATGCCGTTTTGTTAATGCAGCAACTCATATTTATGATCTTTACGTGGACGTATAAACTCAACAAAATGGCGAATGTCAGTTCGTTAGCTTTTAACATTTCCACTGTTTGGGGGTTGTTGAGGCAGTCCGTGTATGAAATATCTGAAAAATTTAATACATAAGAAACATATACTAATACTAAACAGACGCATATAGAAGGATCTTTCAGTCATTTTTTGGCGTCGGCAAAGGTTTGATTCACACACTCGTTTTTTACGTTTTTTTGGCGATTTTAACGTTCCACTCTGTTCTTTTTCTTTTTTGAAATTGTAAATGCTTCTTTCGCTAACACCAGTCATCAACGAATTATGTCTTACAGCAGCACTTACATTAAGTTGTTCCGTATTTTGTAAAAAACACAACACATTTAACACTACGAGTTAAACGCAACCGGTTAGCGCAACCGTTAAACAATTCACCGGATTTAAACTTATGGGACTCCATGCTCTCTGTTGAAACTTGGACTAAATTTTGAAGTGTAGTTTCGTTTTCCAAAAGCACTTTCACCCCCTACCCATCCTTAGGATGGGTAGGGGGTGAAATAGAGAAAGCTTGGAGTTTATCAAATACTAATTATGACAAACAAGTTTATGGCCATATTTAGGTGATTATGTTAATGATGGTAATTTGTAGCAGAAGTTTTACAAAAGAAATGAAGACCTATTTATAGAAACAACATAACTGTATTTTTAATATTTTGCATACAATAGAAAAAATCTAATTTCTATGAAAGAATTGAAAATTTGAATATTATATATAATATCTATAAATAATATCATTTCCAAGTTTTCAAATTCTTTCCTAGAAATTATGTAGGTTTTTTCTATTTTATGTAAAACATTAAAACTACAGTTATTGTATGTTGTTCTTGTAAAGAGGTGTTCAAATGTTACTCTTATGAATATGATTCAATTGTATATCTCATGTTGACGTTTTATATGCAAAATTCATAGTTGTCAATAACTCATCAATGCCTTTTTATTCTACTGTATACGTATACATGATATACAATATTTTACTCGTACTGCCGGCAGATGCATTTTATCCAAGCCGGTCCTGTGAGACAATGAGCAATCAACAGCTGGAGAAAACCGACAACCCTGCGCGTTTATTCTCCATAAGAAAAGCATTGCCGTATCTTACCCGTACTGCACTCTCAGTGTGACATTTTCTATAGTAGTTGTTATTTTAAAACACGATTAAATAGTACCCATACAGCGTAACAACTGTCACATAGACTGTTCATTAAAACATTACTTGTGAAATGTTAAAAATTTCAAATAATTCTGGAATGCTTTTTGTTATTAAAAGATTATGGATGAAATGGCAGTTTGGAAAATATTCTAAAAAGTTTAATGAAAAGTTCTGAGAAAATGAAATTTTTTGTTAAATATATTTTGTAGTTTTTTAAAATGTTTCGTAAAATTTTGGGCAGGAAAACAGTATAATAAAAAGTTATGTGAGTGACGATTTTTCGTAGTGTTGGAACAAACCTATTTTTAATTCAAAGTTATAAAATTTTATTTACATGTAATAAAAAAATTAATTTTAAAATTAAAAATTTAACAATTTAATATATTAAAAATTAAGATTTTATTGTGAAACAAACAGAAAAAGACAGTTTGCAAATTAATGGCATCGAAATTTGATTAAGCGTGAATTCATAAGTTAAATAAATAGCTCCGTTCGTACCACTTTCCCACTTCCCCCTAACTATATCTTTCATAATGGTTGTAAGCGGACGTCCACAGTTTGAGTTTATGCAGTCGCCCTCTCAAGGAGTGTTTTGAAGTATAATAACCGTTACCAAATCGAACATTTCAACTGTCCTTCCATATGCGTCTATATTCTTTGGTATTTCCTTAAAAAACCCTTGAACATCGTCCAATTTTGACCTTGACATTTTCACACAGAGATGCCTTATTGTCAAGAAAGTAGACAATATAGGGAATTATGAAATGATAAAAATGTAAGGTTATTATTACTATAAATCCTTATTATGTTCAGAGGTACATGAAAAATACGAATTTTATCAATTATTTTATATCAAGGGATTATAAATCAATGAAAATGTAATCTTGTTTTTTATTTAGAGTAATAATAATCCAAAAATTCACTTAAATCGTTTCACTTATAATCCCCTTATTTATTAAATTAAATTAACTGAATCCTCAAAATATATGTGCTTAAAAAACACGGTTTTTGCAAGCAGATGGTTGTAGATACAAGAAAAAAAATTATCACCTGATTTTGTAATGGATATTAAGGGCGGAAGGCTGTTCTCACTCTTCGGAATAAATGAGTTTGTGTCCGAATCCATCAAGGGTAAATTCCTGTTTATTTTTCCCGCATTAGTACTAGTTTTCTCCAATTTCTTCGTCTTCGTGTTACTATAGTTAAAATCGTTATCTAGATTAGTCAGGTCGCTTCCTGGGCGAATACCGTCACAAAACATCACGCTCTTATTGGATTTGGTTTTGTTGCTACCTAAAGAAATAGAAACATTTGTTTTTAAATTATAGCTTTTTGTATGTAATTATTTAGTTGTACACTACAAAAGAAAATATGTACAACAGAACTGTAAAGATTGCCAGAAACAAAAAACAAAACTTACCTTTTCTTTTCAAAACTCCAACGGGTACCATAACAGCCGGCAATTGATTAGACGAATTGCCACTCACTTGTTGCAAAGGTGAGATTGTTGAACAATATTCCAGAGGATTGTTGGGATTAGGTCGTCGAAGGGGAGAATTGCCGTGATCTGGCGAGAGGTCCGAACTCGAGCTGCTGTTGGTATCTCTGTTTAGTATATCGTGACATTTGTTGCACACTCTGGCTTCTGCGTCCAAATACTCCAATTTGAAACGAAGATGGCAGCATTTGGCACACAGGACCTGTACAAAAAAGTTTTCAAATGAATTAAATATCAAAATAATAATAAAAAAGCTTGATGTGGCTCACCGACTGAGCCACAGTGATGGATTAAACAAACATTGAAAACTTTTCAGTGTTTGAAACTACAGCTGTTTCGGCAAAGTGCCTTTCTCAAGTGATCTACTTTTGGTATGTGTTATTTACAATCTTCAACTGAAAAGTTGAGGAGTGGAGACCTGTTTGTCTCAAGTTGATCATTCAGAGTTATGTCTGTATTTTTTAAATTTGTTAATTTCCATAGATTCTAATAAAGATAGCTCAAAGCCTTTATTTTGAATGTGAAGAATTTATTTAAGAGTAATTATATATATATATATATATATATATATATATATATATATATATATATATATATATATATATATATATATTGATAAAAAATCAGAATTTGACTTACTAGTCCACAAGCTCTACAGTGATGCCGCCTCTTCAACACAGTAAACTTCATATCACAGTGCAAGCAACTAGTAGTATCAGAATCCGGAATCCATAAAGGCGCCTCCTTCCCCAACCATTGTTTTTCATGAGCCCCGCTGCTAGTGTTCCCTTCTGTAGTTCCCCTAGCTTCGCTTTCACTTCCTCTAGTGGGCTCTGAACTCTCTTCTAGATTGCGTACATCGGCACCGTCATCAGACAACTCTCTGCTATCTCTTTCTAAATTTTCCGTAGGCATTCTCCTTTCTTCCCCGATGTTGGGATTAATATCATTGTCATCTCTGATTTCTTCAGTGGATGCAGTTGAAGCTGTACTTCCAGTATCAGAGAAGGTGTTCGATGATGTGGAAGATATTGATTCGCTATCGCGGTCGTCCTGTTTGTGGATTTCTTCGCTTATGTAAACATTGTTATATGGTGTTGAGCCTGGGGCACCTATAGGAATATAAAATATAATAAATGTATAACAATGACAGTTCAATTCACTGAACTTAGTCTAAACTGCCTTGTAAAGTTAATAATCAAGTTTGTACTACGTTGGTCAAATTTTGTCATCAACTGGAAGTTACTATGCAACCAAACAAGCATACATAGGTACTCACAGTCAACATTAATTGTAACATTAATCCTCTAACCATTTTTTTTATCTTAATTTGTTCAAAATATCTGAAAATTTCTAGTTAGAGTAATTTGGGTGACACAAAAATTAATTTCATGTCCTTTTTGTAATATCTATTATAGTTTGGCCTTCAGATGAGAAAGAAGATAGACTGTTTCTAGACGGTTATAATGGTTTAACACACAACAAGTGAGAATAGGTTGTTTTAATTCAGTTATAATTCATGTGACATCACATCAGGAGTACCCCAAGGATCTCACTGTTCACCTTTGTTATTTAATAGGTATGTGAATGATATATCACAATGTTTTAGAAATTGCGCTTTCCTGATGTTTGCAATTATTTGAAAGTATTTAAATCTGTAGATTCAAATGATGATTTAACTTTAATTCAAGAAGATTTAGACCGGTTGAGTATTTGGTGTGAGAATAATATTCTGCATTTAAATGTTGCTATATAAGTTTTTATAGAGGTATTAAAATATGGCACTGCTTATATAATTAATGATAATGAATTGTCTTATGTCAAAACAATAAAATAATTTGGAGCCACATTTGATGAACAGTTGCATTTTGTACAACATATAAAAATTTAACAGTAAATTCATTAAAATCTTTAGGCTTTATCATTCGCAACTGTCTGAGACTATCTGTTTGGACTTTAAGAACAGTGTATTATGCTTTGGTCTTATCTAAAGTGGAATATGCATGTATTGTATGGTCTCCACAATACCAAGTTCATTCTACTACATCGGAGAGATTGCAGAATAATTTTTTAAGATATTGTGCATATAAATTAAACATATGCATTATTAAACATGATTATACAGCTACTTTAAAAACAGTCAACATGAATTTATTGAAAATCTGACAAGGTAACCTTGATTTAGTATTTGTGTTTAAAATAATAAGTGGTTTAATTTCTTATTCTGAACTTCTCCAATCTATTAGTTTATATATTCCCCCCAGAAGTCTCAGACATGTTGATTTGTTTTATATACCTTTTCACTGTACAAATTCATTGCTTCATTTAAAAATCAGATAAAAAGAGCTTGACAAATCATAAATACTTTTTTGTTTATTTTAATTCATTTTATTTCATATATAATTAATATATTGTTTTATTTATAATTAAGATTTAATTTCACTTAGTTTGTAGGCAATTACAGAGATCGATTGTTACACTGTATGTTAACATATATATTTTTTGTAATGTACAAAAAATACCTTCTCAAAAAATTTGAAATAAACTGTCATCAATTATAATGCTAAAAATTATAGTAGCTTATTTATTTTTCTAAAACTAGTAATACATATCAAAAATAGATATTATTACATACTTACTCTAAATTTTTCAGCAAAATAAGTTTAGAAATCACTTTTTCTGTTACAGTGGCGGCCGGTCAGGGTCGGCAGTGCCGACCCACATCTTTATAGATATTATAGATTATTTTAATATTTAATTTAATCAGTATTTCAATAAATAATTGTGGCAGGTAATCAGTTGGTCATTTGTTTTTGTGAACTAAAAAAATATCTGTGAGATAATTAAAATTAAAAGAATTCGACCAGACTAAATTTTATTCATGGTTTTTAAAAGAATTCGTTCAATCTGAGCGTTAAGTGATCCCTGCGTAAACACTTTTCAAATAGATGTTCCGTCCGATATCGGAGACATCCATCCGCCTATGAATTCTTAAAAAGGCACGTTTTGTTTTTTCGGCTAGCCGATCCCAACCTTGCCTTTACTTGTAAAAATCAACGGAATATTGGTTGATTAGCAACCAAATATACATTTCTTTCCATATGAACTTAATTACCAAGTACGGCTAATTAAAATTTGCCGATGTTTCATTTGGATTGGTGATTGGTCGCGAACTGTACATTGCGAGCGTGGGACGAAATGTTATTTCATTTTTATATAGTAGTAAACTGAAGTTATATTCAGTGCACGAACTAGCCTTTCTTTTTGTGATTTATTTTTATTTTCTAAAGTAATACTATGATACGTTACGTCTGCCATAATAGTTAAAGGTTAAAGGGTTTTTTGACATATTAGAAGTTTTTTTTAATTAGAGTGTAAACAAATTCAGTAAACACCTAAAAAATGCAAGCCATGGGAGAAACTGTAAGTATTGATAAGTCTGATATTGTAAATTATATTTTGCATAATGGGTTTTCACCTATTCCATACGAGGAACAAATTGTTATTAAAAATAAGGGGCGTCCTTTGCCTAAAATGTCCCGGCTTATAAATATTAGTGCGGGTAAGGGAAATAATAGATCATTTTTAGATAATTGGTACAGCAAGTACTCATTGCTTACTGGGAGTGAAATAAAAAACAAACTTTTCTGTTGGCCTTGCATTTTATTTTCGACAAATAGGGGCAAACATCAAAATCCGTGGTGGGAATCTGGTTACGATAATTTAAAGGAATTATTTAGGGCTTTACATAAACATGATATTTCGAAAGATCATACTTACTGCCAGATTAAATTAGATTTATTTGGAAAACAAAATATCCATGTTTTATTAGATAATGCCCAACGTGAAAATGCTATTAAACATAACGAAATTGTAAAAAAGAATCATTCAGTTTTACGTCGTTTAATAGATATTGTAATTTTTTAAGTTGTCAGGAATTATCTTTTAGGGGACACGATGAATCGGAGCATTCGTTAAATCAAGGTAATTATAGAGAACTAATAAAAATGTTTAAGAAATACGATTTGGAATTTTCTAATTTACTTTCTGATTCGAAGACATTTAGCGGTGTATCTAAAACAATCCAGAATGAATTAATAGAATCAATTAGTTACATTTTGAGTAACGTAATTGAATCTGATATTCAGGAAACCATTTGCTTTTCTCTAGAAGTAGATGAAACTTCATTCACAATTATCAATTGTTGTTCGATACGCGTTACGTGGTAATATCTATGAGAGGTTTTTAGGTTTTACAGACGTGAGTAAAAGCCATAAGGCAGAACATATTTTTGGTGTTTTAAAGAACAGATTAAAATGTTTTGATATTAAAAATAAATTGGTAGGGCAAACTTATGACGGCGCTGCCGTGATGTCTGGTGAATTAAATGGTCTCCAGGCAAAAGTTAAAACTATTGCACCGCAAGCTTTATTTATTCATTGTCGTCTTTTTTGCCAGTTTAAGCGGGTTTGCTTCATTTGTCTCAAGCTCGCCTAAACGGACTAATGTTTTAGAACGGTTTGTTTCGAAAAAAATGCCAACAGTTTGTCAGACGCGATGGAATTTTAAATCTCGGTTAGTTTTCACTGTAGCAGATTTTCGTAAACAGCTTTTTGATTTTATTATTGAATGTGACGATTTTGAAAGTGATGATGTCTCGATCCGTGAAGCAATCGGTTTGAAAACTTTATTAAGTGATTACTCTTTTAACATACTTTTAAATATGTTTAAGAAAGTGTTTACCCAAACCGATTTGATATTCAATGTTGTTCAAAATCAGTTAACTGACATTATTCATTCCAAAAATAGAATAACAAGACTGGTGCAAAATCGCAGAAATTTTCGTACCCCCCCCCCAAAAAAAGACAAAGGCATGACACAGAAACAGATCTCGAAAAACGAGTATATTTTGAAATTTTGGATACTATTATTATGCAAATAGATACTCGTTTTTCGAATTTTGAAGATTTGCAAATTTTTGACCTCTTTGACAGTTCAAAATTTAAAAGTTACGCCAAAGAATTTCCAAGATATTTATTAGACAGGTTAATTAAAAATTATCTATCATTCTTTAATAAAATAAAATTAGAAAATGAATTAAAAATTTTATATGCTGATCCAAATATTTTCGAAAGATGGGATAAGTTACAAGATATGTATAATTTTATATACTGCAATTCATTACAACAAACTGTTAACGAAATTAATAAATTATTGTCATTAATTCTCTCATTACCACCAACGTCTGCCTCAAATGAACGAGATTTCTCTTGCCTCAAAAGAATCAAAACTTATTGTCGAAATACCATGAAACAAGAGAGAATGTCAAGCTTGTCTCAAATGTCAGTAGAAAAAAAAAACTTTTAAAATCTCTCCAAAACTCTAATAAATTTTACGATGACGTTATTACCCATTGATGATTGAAGTCTTTATTAGATGGTATACCTATCTGAGGAGACAAAAAATACCTTGCCGACCTTGTCTCTCAAGCCCCGAGCCGCCACTGTTCTGTTATATGAAATTGCTCATCAGATTGCAATAATTTATACATCATATTCACACAAATTGTAGGAAGTACCTTCTTATTACTGCTAAACAGAACGCCAGGCAGTGTTCTAACTCATACCAATATACATATACCTGTAAGTTTATTTGAAAACTGACAAAACCATGTAAGCTATACATATTAACAACTCTGAAGTTAAATTAATATTTACAAATGTTTTTAATCAAAATTAGTGAACTTTCATTGTTGTGCCATCCCAAAATTTACAATGACAATTTCAAACCATAAATGTCACTTCATTCAACATAGTAATTATGCTACTACTGACCCATAGAAATAAGCAATACTATGGCTTCCTTAAATTACGATTTTTTTTATATATATGCTCTATATAATAATGTGAAAACACAATTGAAATATAAAAATGTATAAATAATTACCTATTAGATTAATTTCCCTTTGTTTTTCTTTTTCTTCTTCTTTAAGTTGTAAATGTTGAGGTCTAGATGCACTATCTTGCCTTTCAAGTTTAATATTTGTTGTTTCAGTCTTTTCGTCATTTGTATTACCAGCATCATGTTCCTTGGAACTATTCTCAACACTCTCAACAAGTTCTTCACTCTTATTAATAGTTTCTTCCTCTTTGTCCGGTAATTTTTGCTCACTAACATCTTCCATAATCTGATCTTTTTCTTTAGCAGGTTCCTCTAGAAGTATTGGTGCTTCTTCTTTTTCATCTACTCCTTCTTCTTGTTTGTCTACTGATTTCTGTGCTTGTGTTTTTTCCTCTTTTTTCACACTTTCTGCAGGAGTTTCTTTTATTTCTTCATCAGTAACTAGATCTTTCAGTACTCCTGGAGGTTCTTCATTTTTAACTAGTTCTGTTAGAACCTCTGGTGGTTCAACTTCTCTAATGAGTTCCTTTGTAATTTGTAAAGATTGTTCTTTATTAATAGGTGTCTGTAGAACTGTTTCAAAATGTTCTTTATCTTCTTTTTGATTTATCTCATTTGGCAAAGCACTACTGTCTTCTATTTTATCTAAAAGAACATCTTTTGCTTCTTCTTTATTTACAATTTCTATTGTAGGTGTCTCTGAATCAGTTGATACTAAAACGTTTGGTTCTTTTAATAATTGTGAGATTGGAAATTGATCAACTGACTCTCCAACTTCTTCATGTTTTTCCAAAACTAATATACTTTTGTCTTCATTATCTCTACTTTCCTTTTTATTACGTTCTTGTTGTAGGAGTTGAGATTCCTGGAGTAAATCTTGGTCATTTTCTAATTCTTCTAGCAACTTATCCACTTCATCATCCTCTAGATTAGTTACAGCCTCAAAACCTACTACTATAGGTTGAACTTCTTTTATGTTACTAATAATTTCGTCTTTGTCTGATTCATCACTGACTTCCGGTACTTCTGGATAGTTGGGGTCTTCACAAACAACTTGATTATCCTCTTCATTAGTTTTTATTACTAGATCTTCCGAAATTTTAGAACTAATTTCATCCACTAATATATCAGACTTTTCTACTTCTTCAATTTTACTGAGATTCTCTGTTATTGTATTGTCTAATTTATTTTCAGTAGTTGTATCTTTAACATCTTCTATTTCAATGAGAAGCTCCTCACTTCCCTTAGTTGTAGTATCTTCTAATTGACTGGCAGGATAGGTTTGTTTGATTTTTTCACCTTCTATAAATATGATTTCCTCAGATGTATCAGGAGTAAGTTCTTCAATAGAGTCATTCTTAGCTACCGTTAAATTATCTTTGATAGTTTCTTGTACTAAAGAATTTTCAGATTTAATATCACAAGATGTATTTTCGACATTACTGATGTTACTTCCTTTATCCCCATTGTTTTCAGGATATTGTATACATACTTCTGAAATCAAAAATATAAATATTTATTATTGTTTGGAAGCAGGTCAAGTGAAAGTTAATTTGTATAAAAAATATTTAAAAATCATATAATGTATAGACACAATATTCAAAGTTAATCAAGGGGTTGTGTGTAGATTTGTTGTGACATCACATAATTCCTACAAAAAGGAACATTTTGGATTCACCACAGTTTAGCATTGATGTTTAAAAATTTTAAAATACCTCTATGTTTTTACCTGTAGGTACTAGGAATGGCCTGCATGCAATGAATTTTCATAAATATGCAATTATAATTACTTGCAACCCAATACTTTTAGTAAAATAAACTAAAAGGACTAAGCTAAAATTCAAAGCTGGGAAATAAAAGATGTTTAAGTAATATATTTTAAGTATTATGTACTGGAATACTTCTGTTCTGTTTAATGGAGTAAAATATGGGATATAACTATAGCATTAATGTGTACATGTACTATATTTAAAGCATTTTCTTTATTACCTACCTTTGCTCTGTGAATTAGAATTATCTCCTCTATCTAAATCTTTTTCTTTAGAACTCAAATCGTTATCTACAGCAGGTACATCAATATTGCTGCTCAAATATTCATTTAAACTATGAAAAACATTGTTAATGGAGTGTTTCAACACATTATTTTGCGTAGCAGGACTAGGAGCTTCTACAGGATTCCTTACAGAATTATACTGATCAGTTAATTCACTGTATTCAAAGTCATTGAGAACTTGGTCTAGATCAACAGCAAATTTCTCCATCTAAAACCAAATAAATCAATTACTTCAAGAAATAATTCCATATGTATTCAGTTTTATATACACTTCATATCCTACCTTCAGTATTAAATAATTATTTTCAACATAACATTAATTTCATATTAATAAAAAACCAAAACAAATGTTTCAAAAGTTTAGCCTAGACAAACATGCCACATGATCTTGCAAAATTATTTACTTGCCTTTATAGTTTCCCCGAAAAATAAGAACAGTCATTTCATTTGGCAAACTGCAATTAGTAATATAATTGTAATCTCCGCTTTTATTTTTTTTTATCAATGGTTGACACTTCTAGCACTATATTTATTATCTGAATGACATTTCGTTATGACGTTTATTTTTCTTCTTTTTAATTAATTTTCCACTGTATTTGTTTTTCATTTATAAAAAGTTCAGCGTTCAGCTAAAAAAGTACAATCAGAAATAAACATAAAATGATTATATTATTTTTTTATTTATTTAGCATAGTTAAATTAACTTTGAGTCTACATCAAAAAAACTTAATCATATCTAATTTATACGCAAATATCGAGATTGTTTACGTAATTAATCGACTGGGAATCACAAACAGGAAATCTTGGGGACAGCAATCGCACGTCCGCTTGGTGGCACTTCTCCATTAATACCACTAATTCCACGTAATATTTTGCCTACCACATAGGGTATTATTATGGGGGTTGAAAATTGGGAACAGAATTTATTGGGGTGGAAATATGGCAAGCAAAATAAATCGAAACTTATGCGAACGGTCATTCAGGGTTTATTTGAGAGCTGGGTCGTGGATAAGTGATTGGCAAGGGGGTTAGATAGGGGCAACTACAAAAATAAAACAAAAAGAGGGTACTTACATGAATCTCCTGGATAAATGAACAAACACAACACAAGAAGGTCCTCTAGCTATTTAAAATTGGACGCCGCTACGAGGTGCCAAATTATAACGATTACAACAACTAATTGTAACTATTGAAATCATTATTAGAAATGAAAAATATATCTTTGTAAATGAAACTCAAAAAGGGGGTTAGAGAATTAGTTAAGAGAAATAAACAAAATGGTTTAAGAAAAAAATTTAACATTTATTCTTGTCTCACAACAAACAGTTACAAAAATAGACAATACTAAAACACTATATTAATAGTCACAAAAGTAAATACAAAACTAACAAAGAGAAACACTTACTATTTCCTAGCCGTTTACAAACTCTAGGAGTTGGAGATACAATACAAAACTTACTATTGTTACTGGGCTATAATTTGTAGCAGAAATAAAACAGAGCCTAATGGTAGGTACCCTAATAAATTTTTCACAGTAGTACAGGCCGACAGGGATGCCGTGAAATGGGCGGAGCTTCCACTGCGCAGAGTGAGAAAGTTTAAAATCAAAAAAGGATGCATATACCCGAACATTTACGCGTGAATTCACGTTGAATAATCACTGGCTACATCTTAAAATGTTTGCAATGTTGTCAAGATGTGGATGATCACAGTAATATTGGGAATTTTTAGTATCCTACTACCTAACAAAATGATATTGTTCGGAAGCTATTTGCTTGTGGTAGATTATGCAATTTACTATTTTATTTGGCAGTAAGCCACAATTTAAGTTTGAAATTAAATTTATTTGACGACTTCCATTGTTTTTGTTGCTTGGTAAAAAAATTCTTCTAATAATTTAACTTATCTGACTCATTCATATTAAAAATTCAGCCATATATTATATCAACATTTTAAAGTATATGACTTTATTGATATTGCCAATATTTATGATAGGAAATTATATTGTCTATTCGCTTAGCTAGGGCATATTTTGACAGACTCATTGTAGGAAACCTACAACACAACAATTCCTACTTCTCAGTATAAATAGCTTAAGTATACTACTATTGCAGACCTCTTTCTTTGAAAAAAAGAAGAATTATTCTAAATAGTGGAAGTGTATACTAAACCCATCAAATTTTCCCTGTATATTTAAAATATAATATTTGAATTGTTACAATTTAAAATATTGTAGTAAATATTTGTATTATTCGCGTTGTTTATTTAATTTAATTGTGTTTTATTATCTTTGTTTAATTCTTTTGTTAGTTCTATTCAGTTAATTAGTTAGTTATATTTTAAATTTTATTATTATGGATAGTCAAAGTTTTCCATTTGTTCCATCAGCTAATGCTTTGGTAAGTTTTTCTTAATAAATATGATAAAATGTTTTTTAAAAAGTTTTTTTTTTAAGTTAATATTTTTAGATTAGTAAGGATGCTGTTCCTAGATTACAAGGTAATAAAACTGCACAAAGGTTTATTCAAAATGCCTACCATTTTTTTTACCGAATGAAAACCCTGTTGAGGTGAGTTGATCATTAAAATGTATTTATCGAATTATGTAAATGTTAAAAATACATAAGGAACTTGCTGTGTCTTATTCTTAGTTAACCTCACTTTGACTTCTTAATTTTGTAGAATTTATTCCCACTTTTTTATTTTGTACAATAAATAATTTTATTAATTGTTATCAATACATTATACGGTGTAAATAAATAAATATTGAGTGTCGACAAAGTTCTATTTTATTTACTTTTGGTTACATTAATATTGACTAAGAGCAGGTATGCTTGGTTGTATAGTATTTTCCAGCCACTTCGAGTCTGTCAAAAAGCTACTAACTTCGAAAAAAAATAATTACTAAAATCACTAGACAGTTCGGACTGGGAATAGCGAACCGGGTATATTGCCAATATATATGATAGAAACAGTAAATTGCATGGCCTGGAATCTTATATGAATGACTTGGTTCATTCCCCCATCACTTTGACCCATCGAGCAATAAGACAAAAGAGGGAATGTAAAGGTAGAAGGGGTAAACGTATTGATAGACAGGAAGTGCCATCTTGAGAGGCCACTTTAGACAAGGATAGACAGTCTCTTTCCTTGTTTAAGAAGTCAAATTTAGTTTGGTTATGTTATTGTTTGTCCCAGAGATATGCTTACATATCTCTGGTTTGTCCCAACTGTCACATGAAATTTTATTTATATTGAAGTTTTTTACCAATTATGTCACTTTTTAGACTATTATCGTCAATATTTAATTAAAACTTTCTAGTCTGAAAAATATTTTATAGCTATTGTTAACAAATGTTGGAAATTTTAAATTTAGCGCCTTTGCATTTCCGGATGTGTCCGCCATCAGAGGCCACTTTTTTGGTCTCCCTTTTATAACGATTAGATTCCCTCTTTTGTCTTATTGCTCGATGCTTTGACCCCAGCGAGTTAATAAAGAGAAATGACAGCCTATCTCTCTCACGAAGACTTTAACCAATCATAAACCAAATAAAATAATCAAACGACGCAATGTCAATTCTGTCAATCCAAAGTAATGACAGATCTTCCGTTTGTTTACAAGTTTTCAATTTTATTTTATTATCTTTAACTTTCGTTTGCATTTATTCTTAGTAATTTTAATTTAAATTTGGTTACTTAATTTTTAAAGTTTATTTTGAGTTATTTATTGTAGCAAAGAATTTTTGTGTAGTGCTAGTAACAAAACTAAACATGGTGAATTATTGTATTGTTCGTTGTGTACAAATCATGGAAAAATTACAAAAAGGATGATAGTAAGTTGTCAGGAAGCAAAAAATAATAATATTTAACTTCTGCAAATATGTGTAATAAATATTATGTAATTATTTTATAACTGTTTTATCTTAAACAACAAATAAATATACGTATATCTAGAAAAAATGTGCATCTTTTATATATCTTATTTTCCAATAAATTTTAATTAGTAACGAAATAGCCCACAAGAGGCGCTAAAGGGTATGTATGTAAAGGGTGTTCATTCGAATTTGCCGCCAAAAGATGATTAGTGTTGACCCCAGCCGCAAGGGTCCTAATGAACGAAATTTATACATTGAGTTGCCTATCTATTTCTACTATTATATTATTTATCTATGGTAAATTGCGAAAGAAAGGATAAAGGAATGATTTTTTGGTTAGGTACCAATAACGTGTAGATCCATAAATAATGATTTGATTCAAATTTATTTATTTAGGTATTTACCAAACAGTAGTAATTATGATGTCATTACAATACAGTTAAGATACTTTCACTTTAAAAGATCCTACTTGGAAAACTTAATTACTTGTAAGTATTTAACCATTCAAAGTAAATATTTATATAGGGCGATAATTATATGATTCATTCATTATATTAACAGTAAGTCATTACAATTCAATTAAAAGACTTTCACTTTAAAAGATTGTACTTGGAAAACTTCATTATTGAATATATTCATATTTATTCATATTCATATTTAATTAAAAATTATCTTCTTATCTTTAAAAATTTTAATTTTAGCAGAGTTCTGAAAAGAACTTTTGTATAGAACAAGTACAACTAAAATAAAAAGAAACAATGCAACACTGTAAAAATATCGAACAGCTACCCGTAGAACGTCCGGCGCACGAATGCCTTTGCTTGAAGTGCTCAACCCCTACTTTCAAATTTATATATGCGCGGTGACACTTTATTTCACGAGAACCCTGTCTACCAGTACTTGTGATTGGAAAGAGTGTGTTTGCGCATAATATAGTATATACAGGGTGTTTGTGTATTGACAGCGAAAATGACGGGATGTGTTTTAGATATAAATCAAGTAATATTTAATTTACACGCTTATTTTACTACCGAAAAAGCTAATGGAGGATCTCTGTGACGAGCTCAATCCAAACGTATGTATTGTGTATTAGTGAGACAAAACTCAAGTCAGTTTGCCAAAACAGAAAAATTAGATAGTGAAGTGAGGTCACACAATATAAATATAGACCACACCCTAAGACTAAAGATCTTCCTGCGGGTTGTAAATTTGAAATATTAATATAAAATGTGTGAAATGAAAGAACATGTTTCTGTAGAGACGATGATAAAAAATTAAAAGACATAAATGCATTCGAAATTTACAGGGTAAGTCTCTGGATAGTTTTCAAAAAGATTGGGTTTTGGTTCAAAATGGAAGACAATAGAAAAGCCTAGTGTGAAACAGCTAGTGTCTTTTACAAAAGAATTGAGTTTTAAGAAACTATACCAATTTAAAAAAACAGTAGGTACATGCTTATTTGTTCATTTAGATGAAATATGGATTTTTGCTTAAGGTGGAATAAGATTTGCAAGACGAAAGTATAAAATTCATAAAACACACCGACACTGAGGTAATATTCAGGTGGAAAACATGATTTTATTGATGGAGAAGATCTTGTGTTTTCTTCAAAATGAAAATCATCTAATTTTCATGATAACATGAATACAGATATGTTTGTGAAATGGTTGAAATAAAAACTGCTTCCAAGTTTACATTATCTATAATAATTTTGGATAATGCCCCATACCATTCGGAAATTTTAAATATAAAATAAGCAATAGACGAGATTATACATAGCTTTGGACATGTGTTAAGATTGTCCCCTTACCATTGTATGTTTGTTGTCATTGAACATATTTGGAGAATACGAGAATACAATATGTATGTATCTAAACAGTAGCATTCATAAGACTCATTTATTTTCTCCGTGTTTTCAGTAGAGATATTTCTTTCGTCATAGTGTATTTTTTTTAATTAGGTTAGTAGGGGAGAGTCACCCTTAAGTTGGGACAGTTTTTTTTATAACAAATACTTGAAAATCTATAGATATTAAAAAAAAGTGAGGTAATAAAATGAAACTTTATTCTAATTATTAACACATTTTAGATATAAACTAAATAAAAAAATATGCTTCGTTTTTTGTTATTAAAAAAAAGTGTGAATGTCCCATCATGAGAAACCGGAATCCTAAGATGGTCCGTTGTGTTTCTCAAAAAGGGATATTACTATACAACTTCCACAAATAAAATAGAGATCATCCATTACTCCACAAGACTCATGAGCCCAATTTGAACATATTTTGCAGTTGTATCAGTCTTCACTACTCTCTGCGTACTTCTTTCCACATACAATGCAGTTTGAATCATCTTTAGTTGAAGTGACGACTGTGATATTGCTAATATTTGCATTTCGAGCGCTGTGGTCCATTACTACAGTTCGCTTCACAGATTTAACCTTGTTGGTAGGGATTGTGGATTGCAACGTCTCTAATTCATTTTTATACGGCGATTCTGTGAGTATCGTGGATTTCAGAGAATGTCTAGAAGAAGTCTCACCTTTCTTTTTCTGTGCCTTTGGTAGCGGACTAATATCAGTCACTTTTACCTCGGATGTCGGAAATTGGATAGGAATGATTTGGCTTCTCTGTATCGGTCTGTTATCTTCGGAATCGCCATCTTAAGGTGACCTTAAAACAGACTGTTTTGAGGTTGAAGGAATCGGATTATCATACATTTCAACTTGATTTACGCCTTCGGTATGAGCCATCATTACAGGTAATTTATTGACCTGTGATGTAGTTTCATTGTCCACTGATTGTTCCGTCGTTTTAGAGGGAGCGAATTCGCAGTCTTGAAATACGACTTCGTTAAAAGGCCAACTTCCGGTTACTCGGAATCCATTTGTCGCTATCTGTACAGAATATGCCTTTGAGAATGCTTCTGCAACATCCCCTGAGATTTGATATATTCCAAATGTACGACCACAATTATTTTTTAGCCATCTAGTAAGGTACCAATCATAATAACTCATAAATGATTTAAAATACGAAACATCTAGGGGTTGCATTTTATGCGTATAATACAGTGTGGTGGCAGGCATAATAAAATAATACCATTCTCGCGACAGAAGTTTATAACGTCTAAACTTTTTGTATGTGAACAATGGCTGTCCAAAATAATAAGAATTTTGCGCTCCTTCGAAGCTCTGCATGGTTTTGTTGTGCAAAATATTTTATGAATTTAAAAAAAAACATCACGATCCATCCATCCTTTGTCCTGTGGAAATGCCGGACTACCGTAAGGTGCATTGTCCATCAGCTCTGGTTTTATTTTCTTTCTGGGAAATATAAAAGCAGGCGCAAGAAAATTGCCACTTGCACTCATAGCAGCTACTATAGTGACACTAACTCCTTTTTCGGCACTTGGTTAAACCTCCCACTTGCTTTTTACCCCTCTGAGCAAGAAATTTAGATAATTTTTGGACGGTGTGGTCACTCCGGTCTCATCAATATTCCAGATCCTATCTGGAGTGAGGTGATGTTTATTATAAATACTTTCCAGGTTGTTGAAAAAACTTTGGACTGCATTCTTGTTGAATCCTGTAGCTCTAGCGTATGAGGTTGCTTCTGGTTTTCTCAGAGAAATATTTCTAGTCGACTCAAAAACCCATAAACCCACTTTTTAGAGGCCATTCGAGTATCTTTATTAAAATTGTTAGCAATATTATTGGCTTGGGCAAAGTCAAATGCCAGACAACGAAGTTCTTTATAAGTGATTCCAAAAAATCGCTTTTCCATTTCAGGAATATGATCTAAAATTTTGTGTTCCTATTCAACTGAGAATATTTGCCTAAACCGACCAAGATATTTGTCATTTTCAGTCATGATTTTATTTTTGTTTGTAACTCGTCTTTGAAGAGTACTTTTAGGAATATTATATGTCAGCAGCTTCTCGAAGCGATAGTTCGTTATTCAGAACTTTTGGTACAGCTAGAATCATATTTTGAACGGACCAGTTTCCACTATCAGTTTTTCTTTTGTAATAGGAATTTGGATTTCTATTTGGCATCTGTAAAAGAAAAATATATCAGTGCCACTTACGAGATATAGAGTTCACTGAAAAAAACATTTTTTAATGACACATTATCTTTACTTAGCTATAATTAAGGTTAGAATATTATGACCTATATTAAAACCGTAAAATAGTTTTTATTATCAGATGTCGCTATTGCGTCCATATCAAAGCCATTTTAGTGTTGCTTCTTAAAAGACAGAAAATATTGATCTTTCACGTTGAGAAAACATATGAATAACTGTTCTGATGAAACCTATTAGATTGAAATACGTAACAACAGATACATAGGCGCTGTTTATGTGAAATCAAATATTTGCTGCCTTTTTCATTTTATTCGGATCTAGTCTGTATGAGTACAAGAAACCAATTCGCTAAGGATTTCTGCTTAATTGAAAAGACATGTCATGGAATGCAAATTTTAGATTCCCCATGTCTCTTTTAACACCTTTATCAATGTCTGTTTTGCTTTGCAATTTTTAGAAAGCACAGATTAAAGCAGAAATCTGAATTATGTTTCAAAACTATTTTACAGTTTTATATTATTTGTTTATCTAGTGTGTTGACCACCTTTATTTAATAATTAACTGTTAATATATTTTCCTGTATTTGGTCCCAGAACCTAATTATCTCTCATCTCTTTTCATTTCTAAGGTTTCTTAATTTTCCCCTTGTAACCCCAAAAAGTTAAGTTGCGCCCTTTTTTATTATCTTCTCTTTGTTAATTTTAACTATCTCTCTGTTTTTTCTAGGTGACCTTTCTAGCACCATCCAAAAAAGTTTCTGAGGTTACAATAGGTTATCAATGTCAATAAAACAATGATTATAGGTAAAAAATTTATTATCGCTAAATTATAAATACAATTCATAAAAAGTGCTTTGAGTTACAGTGCAGAAAATAAAAATAGTTGTCCCCTAATTAAAATTACCTAGTGAAATAGTTGAATTGTGAACTTTTACACAAAAGAAAGAGGTACTAAATCAATCTGAGAAAATTTTGGTACTACTAAACATAATTTAAATATATTATAATAAATAAAATATCACTCATATGTGCTTTTATAGCTCTTTTAATAATACAAAATAGTGAGAGTTCTGCCGAAGGGATGTCCAACTTCAATACTGTTTATAATGCATAAATTTGCTTGAAAAGTAAAAAAATATAATCGGAAATACATTTGTACATGTTGTACTCTTTTGGTAAGATTTGGCAAAATCATTTTGTCCCTGAGGTATGCAAACAAACTGCAAAAAGATGAGAAGCCTAAGTTGAAATGGTAACTTGATCCACTACTTCTTGCATTGCCACAATGCACCAGGTCAGAGACCAACTAAAATTTGCCAAATAACAAAGAGACACATCTGATTCAAATAATATTCCAGTCAAGTACTTAATAAGAACAACAGAAACATTTTGTCCAATTTAATTATATATCTAACTTCAAAATAATGCCATTGTTAGTTATTTTAAAATATCTTTGTGTATGATAAGTTATACATTTAGAAGAAAAATCTTTAAATGAAAATATTTAGAAAAATGTAGGATTAATATAATCTATATTGGTACATTTATTCATAAATCACACAGTATGAGTAACTAAAACTCCGAGTAAGATTTTAAATCTGTTACGAAAATGGCATTTCTTGTATGCAAATTCATTCATTTTTTATTTAATAGCAACTACATTATCATTCCTGTATCAATTTAACAGAAAATAGGGGCATATATGAACTCTATACCTATCCCCTAGTAAAATAATTATATCTGCCACTTTAAAAAGTAGTTATAATCAATACTAAATTGCCTAATATTACTTCATTTGAATATATCTATCTACTTAATAAAATTTTTGGTGATATCATTAACAGCCTCATAAGATAATCAAGTGTTAAAATAGCATTGACAAATAAAGGATAAACCTATTATTATTCTCATCTTACTTCCTATAAAAGATGTTAATAATCCATAAAGAAATTTACCAACTATAAAGGAATATGCGAACTACCTCTGTTGTGTTTTAAATGATTTAAAATATGACAAACAATCATACTTCATTATCTACATTCACAGGGGCAACTTCACCAAAGCAGTGCTTAGCCTTAGGATCTCTATAAGAATTCTCATGTTGTACACTCTGTGAATTTGTACGACATTTAGCTAAACATAGCTCAAAATGATCTGCAACAGAAGCAAACAAAACACTATTTTGCTCCGAGGCTTTACCTAAAACATTTTCCAGCACTTCTTTCTTGTCAGGTTGTAAACAACAAGAAATGCAGTGTTCGTAAATTGTACAACAATTGTTGGGTTTGCATGTTTCACATAAATATTGCACTACACCTGACGACTGTTCATTGCAGCACCCGTTTTGGAGAACTTCATTCCTGGGGCACACGTAACCGCGATCGTCTACTAATAACACCTTTCCTTGCACTGAGTTCCTACAATTAGTCTCGTCACTGCTGGAATTGTGTTGTTGAAGACTCCTCCAAATGAAAGGTTGGGTTCTTTTAACCACCATTACATCATCGTTATTGAGAAAATCGGTTTTTCCTACGTAGCTAATAAGGCAATAACTGAAAGATAGAAAGAGGAGAAGCCCTAGAAAGATTCTTCGTCGTACAAAACGAAAAATTGCACTATACCACATTTTATCATAACATTTTAATTGAAATTAGGACTCTTCTTCATCTCTTATATTTTTTTGTGGTCTCATCTTTTGCATTCCAATACACAGCCACATGTTCTTATTTCATGACAGTTTCATAGGTGTTCCTATCAATTTTATTTATTTCTTGTAATAACTTGTAATTGCCGCAAAAAGAGGAAGGCGGGTACAGTCATAGAATAATTATTCATTATTCTGTGGTACCGTAAGCTGTAAACAAGAATTATCTAAAAAAATATGTTTCATATTGGTTCGTCCATGGCCGCCTTTAACCCATGCATGGCCTTTTACAATAAAGACGACCATGGTTCGTCCAGTGATATGTAAGTCGTCGAATCGAATCATAGGCATACATAAATAATATAATAGCATAGGTTTTATAGTCAATATTCCAACCCCGCACGCACAATGTATCTCGGTTTTTCAAAGCAACAAACCAAAAAGAACAAAAATGACTTTAATTTTTCTTTTTAGGTAAACATGAATTAATGCACACAGTAGTTGCAGATATTTACTCAAAAAAATGAAATTTACTTATCTCTATCTAATATTTCCTCAGAAAATATATATCTCCCTTCGCCAATGGACTCAAATTATGTTTTGTGTGGCTTTTATTACGAGTTCTGTGGTTCTAAGTAACACAGATAAATTAAACTATTGTAGATTGTTATTCTTCATCTAATTTACATACCATGCATGATACTATGATTATAAGATAAGATATTGCGCATGTTTTTGTGACGTCATTGGAGAGTTGAACGTTCGAAATGTCAGTTTTTTGTATAAATATATCAATAAGTAATCTTTAATAAATAGTTTGGAGATATCCTTATGTGTACGATTATTGTAATTAATAAACCGAAAACTTATTTTCGTCTAGTAATTTCATCACACAATGCATATAAATCCCATTTAACTTTAACAAGATTTCAAATTCTACTCTCCAATGACGGCATGCGCGAACCCGACCAATTTTGAGCTACGGGAAGATCCTATCTTGTATTCATAGTATCACGATACCATGCACGTCATTATTTACGTCAGAGATTGAAGTTTTCATAGTTCCCAAAGTATAAAAAATCCTGAATCCATTTTAAATCAAATAGGTCACATAATTATTGCAAAAGTGCAAGAGATTGCCATCTCTTTACTACGACTATTTAAATTCGTATGTGACATTTTTGAAATAAAAGACACTAATTTTGTTCTAAAAAGATCATATTTTAATAAATAGGTAAAAATATAAAACAACAGGTATTCACTTTAAAATTCAAAATAATAAAGTATAAAAAGTGTCAACACCGCAACTGTCAAATAAGCGTTACCAATTTATGCCAAAATTTCACCACAGAATAATAAACGATTCTGTGATTTCACCTTCGTTTGATTAGAGTTATAGTGTGTTCCGAATAAATGTTCTTCATAAAAACGTTTTATAATGCATTTATACAAATTAAATGAAACATATTATTGTATATATCTTTAAGTTAACATTAATAGAAATCTTATGTAATGCCAGTCTACTCGGCAAAGTGATTCTAAAAAAGAACACACCTACCGCCTAAATATTTCGTGTTGGTATCATGTGACGTCACAGGCTATGACGCCGATGACGTGCATCGGCGAATACAATCTTAGGTAACTTTAGTACCTTTTGAATTTACCGCCTTGTATACATATAGTTACGCACCCTGGCACTAGGCGACGCGCCAATTGACGTTTTACTTGTTAACGTTAACACAGGACTGTCACTGCTAGGTAAGAGTGTGCTGTGCTAAGTAAGTGACAACTAATAACACATGTATTTTTGTAAGGATTGTTTGAATAACAAAAGAATTAATAAACATCCATTTAAATATTTTATTTTAACGTGCACTACGTACACAAACACGTTTTGATAAACATGGATGCTGAAAGTCCAAGTACATCTAAAGAGCGCCCAAAAGCGGGGCATTTGACTGGTTTAAAAAGATGTTTTCAGACCTTAGTAGATCGCAAACAATTAAATCTAGATACTGCTGTATTAGAATTAATGTTAAAGCATGAAATATTAATAGATCTAGATAAACTAGACAGAGTTTTGGCCATAGTTTTACCACATATGCTTGTTTACTATATGAAAAACTGGCCAGGCTGGCAGAAAAGTCCTGAATATTACAGTGGTAAACTAAGTTTTAAGGATTGGTTTTTGAAATTCAGGCAGTACTTAAGTGTTAAGTTAAATTATTTAATAAAGAACGGTTATAGCGAAATTATGAATCAAGAAGATGAAGCTGAAGTACACTCCTCAGAAGATACTGTAGTGCCCCCTACAGAAATGGCTCCATTTGTTGTCAACATACAAGGAGCTCCAAAATATTTGTCTACTCTGGTATTCGATGTTAAAAAGGGTAAGTACATTTTACATTTTATAACACATAATAAATTCATAAATGGCACCACATTGCATATCTAAGTTCATTTATAAAAGGATAAAATGAATAAAAAATGACTTCATTCACAACATGTTCACAAGACCAGTTTGAAATTGTTATACAGATTGTGAGTAAAGTCTTCGTTACTTGTTTTATCCTTGTACTTTCATGTGTTAAATATTGTTATTATTAGCTGCATTGCCAGCAAAATGCAATTTGCAAATCTTAATTATGGGTAGTAGCTTAGAACACATTTAATACAGCGATAATGGAATTATCATTTGCAAAAGCCAGTGACTTTATGAAAAAAATCAGAATAGGGATAACAGAATGTAACAAAATAACAATGCAAATGCATACATCCATCTAGCCCAAGAGGTTATATCAAAACTCCACTTTGTTCTTTATAAATAAAATCACCTACTAATTCTTTTGAAAATATTGCAAAGGTCGTTATAAAATATCAATAATTTCTTTGAAGTGTCAACTATAGGACCATATACTTGAATGATGGTAGTTCTTATGGGAGTTGCATTTAGTTGAACTAGGAGCATTCCTTCTGACACAAGTGCAAAGTGGTTAACACAATTGGCAATTTTATTATTCAGAACTAGGTTCATTCCATTTATATCTTCATTCTTAAGATTTCCTAACTAGTATGCACCTCTGATAACCCGTTGCTTATATTTATCTATTGTGTTTCGCTTATTCAGATAATGAAAGTTGATAATCTTACTAGTTCTTAAATAGCATTACAGATTATTCATACTTTGCTATCTTTATCATTCCACTCATTTAATGTGTATTCTAATTCGTGAGGTTTTCTCCTTGTATTTTGCTTATACTGTTGACTAGTTCTTCTGCCTTCAGGGTTAATTTCTTAACCCCAGGACAAAAGAGTGCTCTACCAATTATTAACTCTTCCTTATTGGCCAATAAGTGCTGATTACTTATAGCAGGGTCTACCGGATGATCGAAATCACCACACAATCAAAAGAAGTTGACTGTATTTTCAAAACTGACACAACTGTATTTTCCTTTTATTTCAGACGATATAACAATACATCGCCATTTAGAACCTGAATGGACAGACATATCACTAAGAGAGTTCGTGAATTGGCCATATGTGGGGATAGAATTTAGAAGTAGCGAATTTGCTTTTAAACGATTTAACAAAAATGAATATCGAAGATGGTTAAATCTGACTTCGTGTTCTGTAGCGTTCGGAGCAGTTAAATTTATAGAGGAAGCCAGGATTATTAATAAAGAGACTAGCAGATCAGTTCATACTCTAGAGAGGATATACGCTTATGCAAAACAATTTGTTCAGGTGCTTAGCAGCTATAACATGAAGAGTAAGGTAAGTTGAAATAAATATAATGTATAGATTCGCCACTCCTGGTAATCCTATCCATAAATATATGTATAGATACTTTTGTTTTTTTTTTTTATCTCAGGTTGTTCAGCTGTGTAATTTTCTCGACTATCCATCAAGTTAATATTTTCTTTCTCATTCCAAGGTTAATTAAGCTTTTGTTGCATGTTTCAGCATAAACCTTCACTCTATATTTTTAAGGGGCATCCTATATTCATTGTTCTTTTAAGTTTGTAATTTAGTATTTGTTTATTCCTGCACACTTCACAATAATTGCTTAAATGCTTTGTAAAGCTTCTCCTAATATATCAGAAAATTGTTTAGAGTTTGTTTCATATTATATGATCTGAGTTTATAGATTAAGATGTGTGTTTGTGTTTGTGCATTATTGGCTTCAGAGTCTCTGTCCATTTGCCATCTTACCTTTATGGGATTATTTTGTATTTTTTATTCAGGAGCTCTAAAGAAGTGCTCCTTGCTTTCTTTTCATTTGCTATACAATCATAGTCCTGCTCTAATTTTACAAAGAAATATTTCCTATATATCTAATTTTACAATTATACCTTAGATTTTTATTTTTCTTATAACATATTCAGCTTGTTTTGAATTATTTAATTTTGTTGTGTGTTTTTTTTATTTTTTCCTTTTTTATATATACATATATATACACACATATATTTATTTATTTGTTTTTTTTCTCATCTTTTTATCTTATATAATTTGGAATATTAGACTAGGATACAATTTGACTCTTAGGGGTCGATCAGAGCATTTAGACGAGACAGGTGGACCTGGGATAGACTTGGCCTTTGCACGAAGGGAAAAAAACATAGGTTATAAACTTAATCTAATACATAAAATATGTATATACAAAATTTGATAAATATTACAATCTTCTGAACTTAATAATTGGGTTAGGTTATATGGTTTGGTGATTTTGGGTATTTTGGTTATTTCTTCACTTAATACTTTTACTTCATTACTTGCTTATTTTCATAAGGGATTTTAATTTTAAATGATTATCTACATTTTCAGATCAGCACAAACACATTGGAACTCATAGAAGTCTTACTTGAAGAATTTCTTAAAGACATTAAAGAAATTGGCATCAATAACACATTCGCAACAAATACTGTAGTAGTATTTAATATTGGACAACAGGCTTATATAAGAAACAAGAAACTCGAGAATAAAGAGTAAGTATGCAAAAACAGAGTGATAAGTATTGAAATTAATATGAAAACTTTTATTATCATATTAATTATAGTTGCCCCTGTAGTTATTCTTTCCCTTCTAAATTTTAGCTATTATAAAGTGAGTGTACTAATACAGATAAAGATTAGTTTTATTATTAGTTATAATTAGTTTTACCTTTACTCTTGAAGTTCTGTCAGTCAGATATGCTTTTACAATATTTATGAATTGTAAAGACAGGCCAATTTTAATTAACTGTCTAATCAGTTCGTTGTGCCAGAGATGATCGAAAGCTTTTTGAATATCGAGGAATGTGGCGACGGCGATTTTATTATTATTTATGTAATTCTTATCTCCAGAATCTTTCCGAGGATGTTGATAAGAGAGACGGGATGGTAAGATTCAATATATGTGAGGTTTCCATTCCAGGTTTTGGAATCATAGTCATGTTAGCTATTTTCCACGCAGTATGAAAATAACCTTTCTAAAGAGAAATCCCTTTTGGATTTGATACAAGACATTGTACTGTTTATTTTAATTTGAAGTCTTCTAAAACTATCACTAAAACATGATTAATTTATAAAATTTATTTATTTAACTGTATAAATTTATATTTTAGACTAAATTATTAAATTCTAATCGCCTGTATATACAATTACCTCAGTCTTTGAAACACTTCCAGAACTCAGTGGAATTTAAAATATGAAGCATACAGTTAACTCCTATTTTTGTAAATAACTTTTTAGTATCTCCTAGAATAACAGATACCACAGATTTTGTCACAAAAATTGATCACCCTGTATGTTATGCCACATATTGTTTTAAACCTAGATGATAGAAACATAATTTTGTTTTTCTTCGTATTAAAAATTATGGAAAAAGCCATCAAAATTTGAACTGTTTGTGAGATTTAAGAACTCGTTCAGCCTTCATTGTATGATTTTGTCAAATACTTGCGCCACATTACCGGTGCGATATTGTATTACTAAACTATCTTTTTATTTCAGAGCTAACCTAAATAGACAAGTCGGTTTATGCGAGGTACTGATACCCAAAATGGAAATTCAGATGAACTACTTCTCGGCACTCGAGGACACCACCACCGCCCATACATCTTTCTGTCATCTCAATGAAGTGAGCAGATTGATTCTCGAGAACGTATCATGCTGCACTAAATTCATACCAACATTAATTTTTAAATGTCTATTTTGTAACGTACAATTCGATACACAGCCGTGTTTATTAAATCATTTTCAAGTTCACCACGGCATGGAACCTCCTTTTTCGTGTAACAACTGCAACAGGTCGTTTACTATTCCTGAATTGGCTAGATCTCGATGGTGTCATGAATGCAAGAAGTGAAATGGATATAAAGACTACAATTACATACAACTTATATGTAATACAATATAGACTAAGAGATAAGAATTCTCAATTACTTTGCTGAAAAAAAATCCAAATATTTGAATTTTTGTCAAATTAACTACTAAAGATAATATCGTAAATATAGATAAAGTGCTCTTTTGGCCTTGTAAACCTCTCCATACTGTGACCTGAAAGATTTGCTGCATCTATATTTGTCATATAAGATTTTTTTAGATGTTTTTTGTCTTTACTGGCCAAATACAACTTAGACTGAGAAACTAAATGACATTGTATTTAATTTTCTGTGTATTTCAACTCTGGTGATTTAACTGGCCGTTCAAGTGGATAATGAAATTCATGAGTCGATTTACAAAATATAGTTAATGTGAGTCTGTGTTGGGGATGAGAATTTCCTCACTCAGTCTATTCTTCTGTCAGTTTAAAACTCTTTGCACAGTTCCAAATTGGCTTGGAAGGTTTTATGCGAAAGAAAAGTATTGGTATCATAAATATTTCTGATACCTTTAATAGAGCAAAGAATTCTCAGAAAATTTTCCAATATACCACATCTTCGAATACCAGAATATACCAGGATATCTCTGATGTAAGCATGTCTGTTAGAATTTCTGGTTTAAATGAGATATAACTAAGTCGTTAAATATAAGAAATTGGTAGTCGTCATGGTTTTCAGGTTCTGGCACTGATGACTGTGATGAAGCTGATAAATAGACTGAAGTTTTGTTTGTATATAAGTAAGCTGATGAATATATTGAATTTTTATTTGTATATAACAGAAAAAAGCTTTTTTTTATTTTTAATAATAAATAAATTTTGCAATAACTTTTTTTTATTTTACAATAAGTACAAAGTAGAATTGTCTGGACCCCATTGGACGTGTCTCCAGGTGATAGATAAGTTAACATACAAGTTATTTGAATATACAGTATAACCTGCCTCATCCGTATCAATTAATTACTATTTAAATGGGAATAAGCCTCAATTAAAGGTTAAAGTACTGACGTTACAATTTCCACTTCGGAAATCATTCTCAAAATATGTATTTTGAGAACTATAACTGAAAACCATATAATATTCAGTGGAATATATTAAATTCATTGGGGCCGCTCCACTGAACTTAATTTATTGACATTTACTGAGTTTTCCTTATAGAATCTCTTGAAGATGGCTTCCAGGTTCATGCCGTATACACAGACTTTACAAAGGCGTTTGACCAGGTAAATCGCAAGATTCTAATCAATAAGTTGAGGAGTCTGGGTATCCAGGGTGAATTTTTAGAATAGTTGTTATCCTACCTGACTGAAAGAATACAAATAGTACATCTTCAGGGTTTTCAATCGTTTGAGATTAAGGTACTTTCAGGAGTATTACAAGGATCACATCTAAGACCTCTTCTGTTCAATAAATTGTTAATGACAATGCCTCCCGTTTCCTCTTTGCTTCTTTCCTAATGTTTGCTGACGATTTAAAATTACATTTGAAAATTTAGAATGATGGTGACAATCAAAAACTACAGTCTGATTTGGATCAGTTGAGCTATTAGTGTGACAGCAACGGAATGGAACTTAATGTTAAAAAGTGTCATTTAATGGTTTTTGGTCGGAATAAAACTTCTATAAATCATATCTATACTAGTAATGGTTGACCTTTAGACTCTGTATCTCAGATAAAAGACCTATGTGTTTTGCTCGATTCCAGCTTATCCTACATCCCCATATCTCATCTGTTGTCTTAAAACCACTTCAATTTTTAGGGTTTATCAAACGTTGTGCTAAAGATTTTCTAAATATCCCATCCATAAAAATTTTGTATTGTTCACTTTTGAGACCCCACGTAGATTACTGTTCATGTGTTTGGTCTCCTCAACTATAACACCCATATTCAAGCATATTGAGAGAGTTCAACACAAATTCCTAAAATTTGTTGCATTTAAACAAATCCAGAGGATTAAAGAAATTAACTATTCAAATATGGAAATGTTCCTCAACATAACTTCTCTCCAAATCCGACCCATGCACAAAGATCTCACTATGTTTTATAGTATAATGCGCTCTATTATTTTTGGTCCTCAAATATTAGAAAACATTAATCTCCATGTTCCCAGTAGACAAACAAGGCTAAATCAACCCTTTTATGTTAGACTCCATCACACAAACTGTGGACACAATTCCTTCACATCTAGAATACCAAGGTTTGCTAATCAATATAATATCAATATTTGCTATCAATAGGTCTTCTTCTTCTTTGAGTGCCTCTCCTATCAGAGATTGGATATCATTATGGCGATTCTAGTTTTATTTACTGCTGTTTTGAATAATTCGTTAGTGGTACAGCCAAACCACTAACCACTCTCTTAAATTTCTCATCCCGGACATTCTTCTATGGCCTGGATTTCTGCGTCCTTGGATTTTTCCTTGCATTATATTTTGTAGCAATGTGTACTTTTGTCCTCTCATCAGGTGGCCTAAGTATGCAAGTTTTCTCTGTTTTATATTCATGATAACTTCTGGATCGTTATTTATTCTGCGTATTATCAATAAGTCTGCTAACCCAAAGGTTGGATTGTTATAGTATTTCAAAAGAAGAAAGCTCAGCTTAAGAACTGTGTGTGATAGCTTGATGTCCTTGTGTTTTGTACATTCTTTGTTACTGTTTGTTATTTACTGTTCCTACTTTCATTTTTTGTATGATTACAATTTTTAAAATTCAATTTAAGTAGGTTACATTAAGAATCTGTAATTTATCAATAATGTTTACATTGTAGTTTAATTGGGTGATTGCTCCTTGATAAATAAATAAATTTAGTAATAATTCTTTGCTTCATTTTGGTACACATGGGTTGTCCAAATTACCTTTTTGTGTTTACTTTGAAAAAAAGTTACCAAACATTGAATTTATTTTGAATCAAATTCTAAAAATAATTAAAAAACAATATACTAAGTAAAACAATACTTTAATTTACAATATTTAAATGAATCCGTAATAAATGCTAAAATATAAATATAGTAACATATGTACAAGTGGGAATTAGATCATATATATGTGAGTTGTATCATAATAAATGTAACAAAGATCTATTAAATTAAAAATTATTAAATTAAATTAAAAACATTTTTAATGTAATATATTTCACCTAATAACTAACTTATGAACATTATTTGCTAAGACACCCTGTGCAACATGTGTGGGTGTAGTTGAGTATAATTTTATGGGCAAACTCCAGACCATAGTTTCCACAGTTACCTCTGAAGGTGCTCTCCAGTCAGTGTCCTCTAGGCTTGGTGGAGATAAACCCTTATTGGTGCTAGTCACAAACTCAAAATGTAATCTCCAAGTTAAACTCACTAAAAAATAAATATAATACAGGTTTGTTAAAAAAACAAATTCATAATTTAAGAAGTTGGCCAGTAACCAATAAATCATAATCTTACCTAGTTTTGTGGCAAAATCTGGAGTTACATACAAAGGTATGGGTAATATCAGCTGTGTATAATCATATCCTAAGCAAACTTCATGAAAGTTTCCAAAAGTAATAATCCTAGTCTGCTTTGAATTATCCTCAGCTGCACCTTCAATAATTGTTTTTTCCTCACACTGTAGTGATACTGAAACTTGTATACAACTAACTGTAGCTACTGTAAAGTCAAAAGTTCCTATTATGTCTTCTCCTAACTTATAGGCTGGCTTGAAGAGACAGAATCGAGCTACCCTGCCCCATGTGTTGGTGATCATGTAGGAATTTGGATTTCTTCTTGCAGTAATGTTCTATAATTTATTAAAAAAATTAAAATGATATAAAATGAATTGTCTTTTTACGATTCTGAGTAATACTTGACATACTAATAATTCTTAAAAGAAAAAACAAGTAATGGACCATATTTATATAGAGTGGAGTAGATTAGAATAACAGAAGAGAAGCAAGTGTCATACTGGATGGACTTCAAATGAAATGGAATCATGGAAATTACCAGAAGGAAGAATTTGGTCTTGAAGCCTAAATGGTACACAACTAGATCTGGTGAGAGAAGTAAAGTATCATGGGGTAATATTAGACACTGCATACTTGGAATCACCAGGTAGAACAAATAAAATAATCAATAAATGATGATTGCTGACCATATTTATGTTACTTAGATGTAAGCCTAAAGTACCTTTCCATATGGACATTTTCCTGTGAGAGTTGGAAATACTTGACCCAAATATACAAGGTTACATTTGGTACACAGACAGGTCTAGTGCAGGAATATTCATTAGAGGTGAAAATTTAAACAAAGGCAAAAACAAATTACACAGGGCTTTGGAACTGAAGTAGATCAATATATACACAAACAGATAGTTAAGTCAAACAATGATATTTAAAATAGAACTTTTATAACAAATAAACATAAAGTCTACTTACTTGTAGACTTTGAAGGGCAATCTCTAGTGGACTTTCCTTTTTTCTGATTTCCAAAAATGGATTTGCAGGTGTCAATTCCTCTGTAGTGTCATTACATAGAGCAACAGCCTCATTTAATAAAGTTTCACAAAGAGGAAGAACCCTTATGGGTACTCTTAACAATTTAACAGGACTGTTAACTCTTTGTGTGCCTATTGTGATTTTGTAGGAATATTTCACTAACTGTCCTCTATAGGATGGAGGGGAATCATTTGGGATTTTTTCTCTATAGATATCTACAAATAAACATCATTACAAATCAATTTATGCCCGGTAATACTTTACTTACATGTTTTTGACTGTCCAGGAGATAACCTCAAATCACAAAAGAGTATTTTTGGTTTTGTAGCTACTTCTACCCTAGCATTTTCATTAGTATGTACACTCAAAGCAGTAACAGGAAAATTCGATATATTTTCAGAGGCCCTATCTTTGGGAACTTTTGAATCAGTAAAGCATTGGCAATGGATTTGGGCTGAGGCCCAAGCTAAACTTTCAAATACATCTGTGTGGCTTTGGGCAACTGTATGTGTAGGAGAAGGAGGATGAATAAAAGTGACACTACATTCTAAGGTTTCACCCGATAAAAATACATGACCATGGGGCAATTTTGCAACCACTTCAATCATTTTTGTGTTAAACAAATTTATACCAATACCAATGTTTACAAATTGAATCAAACGTCATCCTAATCTAATAATTTCTAACCTTAGTTTCATCATAATGAGCTAGATAAAAAGAAGCAGAGGATGATTTCTTAGTGAGTATGTAGCTCTTTTGAGATGTTAGCTGTAATAGGGTCATCGAGCAATAAGACAAAAGAGGGAATCTAATCGTTATAAAAGGGAGACCAAAAAAGTGGCCTCTGATGGCGGACACATCCGGAAATGCAAAGGCGCTAAATTTAAAATTTCCAACATTTGTTAACAATAGCTATAAAATATTTTTCAGACTAGAAAGTTTTAATTAAATATTGACGATAATAGTCTAAAAAGTGACATAATTGGTAAAAAACTTCAATATAAATAAAATTTCATGTGACAGTTGGGACAAACCAGAGATATGTAAGCATATCTCTGGGACAAACAATAACATAACCAAACTAAATTTGACTTCTTAAACAAGGAAAGAGACTGTCTATCCTTGTCTAAAGTGGCCTCTCAAGATGGCACTTCCTGTCTATCAATACGTTTACCCCTTCTACCTTTACATTCCCTCTTTTGTCTTATTGCTCGATGAATAGGGTCATATGATGGAAGATATTTAATTACCTTTGGCAACATTGTATTATCTTAAACGTCACGAAAGGCGAAGGCCAAGACAAATGTCAAATGTGGTGGTTTGTGTTGAGAAGTTATGTTTTTTAAGTTTCTCCCCGTAAAAATTGAAAATTTCTTTAAAACACGGTGGATTAAACCCCTCATAACAGTCCTCCACTTTCAGTGTCTTAAATATTGACGAAAAGGTTGTAGAAATGTGTTAAAAATGTAACAAAGTGTTCATAACGGTACCAGTAGATCTTGTTTTATTGAACCCAAATCTGGTATTTCCGAAAGGATGAAATAAATTAAATTAAGAACAACCGGTTCCGCACGTCTACACGAAATAAATTAATGCTAAATAAAATTTGAATATTTAGATAAGGATCATTTTAGAGCATTAAAAGATGGATAGCCAAAAGTTAGAAGTTACATTCTTGTTCCAATTTGGGCTCATACGGGATACTATTACTGTCCCACAGGCTTCTCTGAATCTCAAAACTGTTAAAAATCTCGCAGTTAGCTTCCTTAATTCTAAGGTATGTATTTACAAATCTAGATTGATACATTTTTCAGTGTGTGTATTTTAATAGATTGGTGAAAAGAATTTGTGTCAGTTAACTAATTACATTCCAACAGTTGGTTAAGTGTATTTTACACATTTTATGTAATTTATTAATAGAAACAATAATAAATATAGTAAGTTCCAATCTTAGGATTTAAAAACAAATTAAAGAGATCAAGAAGGAAATATTTTTCAATACTTTCACATTAAACACCCAAAAAATATTTTTCTTGTCTTCAGTGGAATATAATTTTAAATGGATATAAAATTCAGATGCTATAAAAGCTGTAAAACCAGTTGCAAGCTTTAAGTTTGTGAAATAAAAATAGAAATGACACTTTTACTTTATTAGTTTAGTTCCCAATGAACTTAAATAATGAAACAGAAAATATTGAGTGTTTGTTTAAAAATCAATGTTTAAAACTTGGGAAACTATCAATAGTTGTTAGGAATGTATTATTACAACTACAATTTGAATATATTCCTTGAAATAACAAGCAGTTCTATTAAGTATATAGTTCTAGGTAAAATAGAATTAAATAACTGGCAAAAAATAATTTTCAATTATTTAGAGAGAATTTCTATTTAAAAAACATACAAAATGCTACCTACTGATTATTGAATGGAAAGTTTCAAAAATACAAAGTTAATGGAAATTTATTAAAATTAATTCTGCCAATAAATGTCAGTAGGTGATCTAATAAACATAGTAAATGAGATATTACGAAAAAATCTATAAAAACTATTATACTCATCATTATAACTTTTAAGTAAACATTTTATACAGAAAACAAAAGATTTTAATCAGATTAGGTGTATCCCAGATGAAAATAATAAAATACTAGTTTATAAAAAGGATGAAAAGTATGAGAAAAGAATGAGTAAAAACCAATGAAAAAAAGTACTTTGATAGTTTATTAAATGAAGAATTTGGCAGAAAACTAGTTGAGTTAACAGAGACAGTAACAGCATTGGTATCAAAATAACAAATGAGAAAGTTTTTATTTATTTATTAGCCAGAGAACTCATTTTTACAATTAAATTTCAAATATGATATATTAAATTTCAAATATAAAAACAATAAAGAGCAATAACATACAAATAACTACATGTATCATAAAAATGAATACTTAAAACAAAAATATGGAATATACAAATCATTTAAAGCTAGTTGAATGCTATGTTTAAAAACAAACAAAAATATTCTAGTAAAACCCATGCACTCATCACTGAATAGAATAGAAATATGCTTTATTGTGACTGAAAATTGTACAATTCTATGGATTATATAGTTTTTTTGACGAATATAATATAGGCTTCTTTACTAAATCAGTGGATGGGATCATTAAATACAGATTAAAGGTTGAGTTTCCGGTGGAGTAGTCATAATTAGGTCTTGCTGGAAAAACATATAGGTGTTTACTAATTAATCAAGCAGTTTCTAAAATATATAAAGATGGAAGAGTTAAAATCAGATGGAAGAGTTATTTTATTGAGGCAAAAAAAAACTGTATTACTCTTTTTTGTAATTTAAAAATAACATCAGATTGAACAGCTGTACTAGAACTCCAGGAAGACCATATCGAAGATTAGACTTGAACAAAGAAAAATATGTTTTTTGCAAGATGCTGAATTAATTTCTTGATTGATTTTGGGATTTATATGCACATTGGTGTAAACCGGAATTTTCTGAATTTTATTTTAGTAACGTCTCACCAAGTAAAATACCTGCTTTGTATCCTATCTTGCTTACGAGTTCCACTGTCTCTATTCTCTTTTTGCGCTCTCAAATATAAAATTAATTTGGCCAGATTGTAAAGAATGACAAATGACTGGGAAAAAAGTACATGAAGCCATAGCATAGGGAAAAATAAGGATGGCAGAACCATACGAAAATGGGACGAGCAGGTTAGATAAGAGACAGAAAAACAAGGAATATAATGGAATGAGATTAGACATTTGGTACAAAATTAAGGCAACATAGATACAAAAATTAGACAAACAAACAATAATAAAAACACTCATTATAAATATAGTAAATTATAAATGTTGTAAGTATTGTAACAAATTATAAAATATAGTCAGACTAACTCTATAAATAAAAGTACTTTGGTTTTATTCAATAATTAAAAATAAACAATGTTATCTTCAATTGAAAAATGTACTCTTGCATTTTTAGTAGTATATTATATTCCCAGTATTTCTATACATTAGAGAACTATATTTTAGTGATACCAAAAGGCCATTGACTTCTGAAAGTCTTTCAAACAATTTACAGAATTAGTATATTACAGTAAATTATCTTTTTAAGATTAAAAATATAATACAATAATTAAAAAAATATATAGTGGTAATTACAATGCATGTTTTTTTTTAATAGAGAAAGATTTTTTAGCAGAACCTTTACAATAATAGAAAATTTTAGAATCATATTTCAATATGGGTCTGCAAATAATTTTATAAATATTGGCAGCAGTTTCAATTGTAATTCCTTCTTTTTAATTTTTCTTTTTATACATGATGTGTACTTTAATTTGTTGTCTATGCTTAAATATCATTAGTTGTTTTTTAGAGGGATTTATTATTGATCTCCATTTCTTGGCCGAAGATATTGTGTCATCCACCTGCCTTTACAATAAGTTAAATTGTACTTAATAAATTTTTACCAAAAGAGATCACTGTTGTGTAATTAGATAAATTTTAACAAATTACTATTGGTTAGTTCATGTTGACATATGTCACTGCAGTAGAGATTATACAATAGATGATACAGCAGTGAAACCTGTGGAACTCCTTTTTGCATTGAAAATGATTGGGAACATGTTAAATTAATTTTGACTATACACCTGCGATTTTTAAGAAAATCACCAACAATCAATAGTAATGAAGAGGAGCAGGTTATTCTGTGAAGTTTGTTTAATAATCCTTTATGCCAAATGGAGTAGAAATATTCTTCTTGATATCCAAGAAAACTACTGTAGTCTTCAGTCTTTGTAATCTTGCTGCTTGTACATTGGATGTTACTATTGAAAGAGGATGGAAGTTTGTTTAATAATCCTTTATGCCAAATGGAGTAGAAATATTCTTGATATCCAAGAAAACTACTGTAGTCTTCAGTCTTTGTAATCTTGCTGCCTGTACATTGGATGTTACTATTGAAAGAGGATGGATTGTTGATGATTTTTCCTTAAATCCAAACTAGTGGGCTTTGATATGTTGATTTAATTTTTCATATATTCTTCATTTGATAATTTTCTCAATATTTTTCCTATTACTGGGATAAGAGTGATTGGACAGTAATTCTGAGATATTTTGTGGTTAGTATTAGGTTTAGGAATAATTATTACAATACCCATCTTCCATTCATCAGGAAAGAAATCATTCATCATACAATAGTCATATATTATGCTCCTCTTATTTTCTTATGAATAACAGGATCTACTTGTCCAAAGATTTTACAATTGTGAATCTTTGCCACCAGGTTTTTCTTTTATATTATCAGATTTTATGAGAACAATCTAATTAAACATTTCCAAACCAATTATTCACCTCATCTAAGGTATCTCTATCAAAATCATTGTCCTCGCTAAATTTGTAGGTTTCTTCAAGGTACTTTGCAAAGCATTACATTTTTCCTCATCCGTATTATATGACTGGTCATTATATACTAGTTCTGAAATTTGTTATCTAAATGATTTATCTTTGGAAAGTCTATTTCATTCCAGTAGGTTAAACTCTTCATGGAGTTTATATTCTTACATGATAGGATCCATTTATACTGTTTAAGTTTGTGATTATCTTTGTTTAGTTTGTGAAATTGTGGAGTTAAAAGTACATTTTTGAAATTATTTATAATATTTTTAGAACATAGTAATATATCTGGAGTTGTGCTTCGATTACCTTCCACGATAAATGTAGGAGCTGTCTGTAGGTATTTGACAAAAATTGGAATTTGGAAGAAAACATTTGATTTGCTTTATATGTGGGGAACTTGATTTTGTGTTAAAATCGCCAATTATTATTAAATAATCATAAAGGGATGCTTTAATAAAGATTGTTTCTTATATTAAGTAAAAAATGTGGATGTAGACAAGGAAAATATGTAATTTCGAGTATTTGAAGGGGAATGTTTTCAAATATACAGTATTATACACAGAATGAGACATGGCCATCAGGGATTGGCATCCTTCACAAACCAAGCTCTGTTAGAGAGAGGAAGTATTTGGAAAAAATAAATGTATATTTTTATTTGAGTCACGCTTTGAGCTGGGCTACATATTATTTATTATTTATCTAAAAATAGGGTATTTTATTTATTTTATTACAAACATTTGGGACAAATATACCTTCTTCTTCTTTCAGTATCCTGCCTGATTATCAAACATTGGCAATCAGGAATATCCGGAATAGAAAGAAAATAAAATTTGCTGTCATCTTTTAAAGATCTCGGAAGACAGCTGACTTCAAATTATTAGAATTATCGACAATTGGAATTTTGATAAAAATATTAAAATATTTGTCATCTGGAACTGCATTCCCGCAATTCAAGGGGAAATGAGGGGGTTGTTTATTCTTGGAGAGATTTCTTTACCCATTTTCAATGTTTTTCTGGATTGTATAAGGCTGCCTCTTCTGAAGTTTTGGTCTAATATATTGCCTTTTTGTTGGATTATAGGATGCCATAATATGGATTAATAACATTTTCATTTTTGCTTTCAACACACATAAAACTATTGATATTCTATTTTGTATATATAGTTGTATATGATTTCTTTAGTTGAATTAAAAAAACTGTTGATATTTAAGTAAAGAAACATTACATATGTTATGAGCCATTATCTTAAAATATTGTGAGACTTTCCTGTGGCATAGTTGGTGAGTCGTTGGTTGATTTTTCCAGATTGAACATGAGTATAAGTAAATAATAGATTTCCTCTAAATACTGGGGTAGTATCAATATTGTATAGATGTAAAAATCTATTTTTTGGTTTAATTATAATTTATGATTTCTTGTTGATCGCTATTTGTAGGATTCTTTAATTTGTTAGTATATGCTAACATGATTATGATATGTCATTGATGAAAGAAAAACCCAAAATTATGAAAGATTTTTGGGAATATTCGAGCCTTAGAGACTCATAAAAATATTTGGAGCTATAAACGATCAAGGACAGTGATCTGGCGCAAAAGATATAATTTCCTTACCAGCTTAAAGCAGGCCAGGATCCACAGGATTGTCGAGCCAAAGATGATTTGGATGATGTGATTGATGAATGTATTCTGTTTGGACCAGTAATTTCTGTTGCAATTTCATAGGATTTTTTGTTGCGTGTATTAGGAATTACTTTGATAGGTTTACTTGGACTGTTATGACATTTAGGTAACCATGCTTGGTGGTCTTTGTCATTGCATGACAAACATTTCTCCGGAAGAGGGGATGTGCATGTTTGTATGGGATGTTTTCCGTGGCATTTCCTACAGCCTATTAATTTGATTGAATACGCATTGAAAGAGCCATAGCCTTCTATAAATTAAAGAAAATTCTAATTAATAGAGATATTACATTAAACCTTAAAATCAGATTAATACGCTGCTACATATTCTCCACATTGCTGTGTGATATGGAGAGCTGTACCCTTACAGAGACATGAAAACATTGGAGGCCTTTGAGATGTGGTTTTATCGACTAGTATCACGCATAAGTTAAGTTGATCGAATAATAAATGAAATAGTTTTACATCAAATGAAAAAGAGCACAGAAATAACAAAAAAGATAAAAATTTGAACGTTAGAATATTTCGGTGATTTAATGAGACATCCAGAGAGGTATAACCTTCTACACTTCATAATACAGGGTAAGATCGCCGGAAGGGAAAGCCCAGGCTGAAGAAGAACATCCTGGCTCCGAAATCTCCGAGAATGGTATCAAGAATTCGAGAGACCACCGCTAATTTATTTAGAGCCGCCATAAACAAAGTTATTATTGCAAATATGATAATAGGACAGGGTACTGAAAGAAGGTTAATTTGATGTAGGTATACAATAACCATTTATAATATGGGATAGGAGAATGGATGGGGTAAACACGATAGTGGTAGTTTTTAAAGAACACTTCTTCACTTAATAGTTTTTAAAAGATTAGTAATCTCTCGTAATTATTCTAATTAGAGGTGTAAGTTTCGCGGTTTTTCTTGATGTAATTATTTTGCAGTATTTCTGGCATATTCCGTTATTTGTAAGGTAGTATTTTATATGTGTTTCTTTAATATCCAATTCTACTGATGATATGACACAGGCGAAAGTTGTGATTTATTTGGTGTTGATTGATTTTGATTAGAATTTGTTTCTTTGGCCACTTTTAAATGGACTAATGAATTCAGGTGTGTTTTAATTAATGTGGTTCTTATCTTGATTGCTTTTTAAAATAAAACCACTTTCTAGTCTTTATTGTCACATCAAAGAAATTTCAATTTCTTGCATTCCAAAAATTAGCTAATTGTACTCTTGAAAATTTTTTGATCTGTTGTTATAAAAAAAACTTTTCATAGTTTTGATTCATGATGCTTCTCATTTGTATATAGTGAATAGTTGTGTAAAGATGATAAAAAAGAGAAAACTCGAATATCTGGGGCATATAATGAGAGGAAGGGGCATATAATGAACATGATAATGCAGTTAATACTCAACGGAAAAAGTTATAATTGGTAGGAAGAAATACTCATGGCTCCGAAACCTTCGTCAATGAACTGGCTTATCAGCATATGAATCATTACATGACGCACAAGATCTAGAATGATATAGGCAAATCGTCATGGAAGCTACATGGAATAAGAAGAATAGTTGTGTGTGTTGTTAATTACATTTTTTGATGGCTTTGAATATTGATATTTCTTTGGGAATTTGGTTGGGATTGGTTAATTGGTTGGGTTTTCAAAAGAAGGTGGACTTAATATTATGTTTTGAATTTGTTGTTGTATATATAGTTGTGTGCCTTTTTGTTGTATTTGATAAATGCGATGTTCCGGAACGTCGTTTCTTTTTCTTATTTTTTTCCACTGTTTCTTGTCCTCTATTTCTTTTTCTTCTTCCGAGATCGAACTTCCGCTGCTTTTGAAAGACATTTCAACTTTCTATTCATGGTTTTTTCCTTATTATTAATTTTAAATCGATTTTTAACTAGTATCGTTAGCTAATTACAGAGAGCGGGCCGACATACGCCCTTTCTCTATGAATATCAAACGATTACTGCTAAGGCTAGATTAATGTTGTGTACATAGTGAAAATACACGAATCTATAACATAGATTTATTTGTTTCAGATTCCAGATCATGGTGTTAATAGAATAGAAGATCGCATATTGTTATTTCGCCATGCCTACAGCTCTAACAATATTTTACAGTTGATAAATTCGGCTTTAGAAATCTCAGATGAAACACTTATAGAAATAGTTTTAACAGCCAAAGGTAAGTTCAAATTTTATGATGTGAAATACGGCTCACAGACGTTATTATTACTATTATTTTATTTGAGCTAATACAACCAATCGGCTTGATTTAACACAGACAAAAATAATGACCTTATTATTAATATGTGAGTGGGAAATTATTACTAGATTGACTTTTTCTAATGTTTTTAAAATGAAAGATATTAATAACAACACATATTACAGATATTTCATAAAATAGCTTCAGCAGTGAGCATGCTAGGAAGGGAAGAATTGCTAAATTTATGTATCTGGTTATGTATGGTAAAATGGTGTCTTATTCTTTAATTAAAAACACAATACCAATCACAAACAGCCTTATCCTATTAGGGTATTACAGAACAGGGCTATCAAATATGATTTTCAACTGCCACACCTTCATCTAACAGAAGATCTGTACTGTCCAAGAAGAATACTCAACATTGAATCAATGGATACTATGCAAGTTTGTGTCTTCTTCTTCTTGTAGTTCCTTCTACTTTCGTTCCTTTTATACTGACTTGATGTAATCTATTTATTGAGCGTTGCAGTGCTTCTAGACTGTCTGCAAAAACAGTGGTGTCGTCTGTGAATCTTATGTTCAAGATATTGATATACCCATGTTATATTATATACCCTGGCCTACTCCTCTGATATTTCTTCCTTAAAAATAGCTTCGCTGTACAGATTGAATAACAATGGGTACAGCACCCAACCCTGTCTAACACCTCCTTTGATTTCTATAGTTTCTGTATCGACATTTTCAATTCTAACCTTTGCTCTTTGATTCCAGTACAGATTGACAATAACCCGTATATCTCGACTATCTACATTCTTTTCTTTTAAAAGTTTTATGAGTTTCTGATGTCATACTCTATCAAATGTCTTCTTTTTAATAGATTTTAAAGTTGTGTCTAACTCCTCTTCATCCTTATCCGCTGTTGGTGCGTATACTTGAATTAAGTTAACTTGTTAACTAATTAAGTTGTTGTATGTTTGTCTTCAGCTGAACCATTATCACTCTCTCTAAGTAAGGAGTGAATCTTATAACTGATTTATTAGTTTCTGTGTCTAACAAGATTGCGACTCCATAGCGATGAGCCGGATCGTTGTTTCTAGCATAATACATCATGCCATTTTTGATTATAAGTTTGCCGTTGCCTGGCCATTGTACGTTACTTATGCCCAGTATATTTATTTCCATTCTGGTCATTTCTTGTATTAAATTGTCTAATTTTCCTGGCTGGTACAAGCTTCTTACATTCCATGTTGCAAGTCTTATTGGTCTGCGTTTGCAAGCAAAATTCTCTAAACGAGGATTTTGCTTGCTATCGACCTGGAAGGACTCGTCTTTTACATGATCTTTTCCTTTCGTGTCTTATTTTGGTTTCCGGATTCCATGATCAGTAACGGTTTGACTTTTTTACGTATTTGCCATAATGAATGACTAAGACTGTTTGTTAAACCTTTAATGCAGTGGTTTCCGCTTGCCTTCTGCATTCTTCTGCCGTTGACCAATTTATTTTTTCTTCTGCCTTTGGAGTCGATTTCTCAGCTCCAGGACAAAGGATTGTCCTACTACCTACCGACTCATCCGCCCGAAGCGGTTGGTCGGTAAGAAGGGGATTGCTTATACCGGCAATCACTTGGTTCCTATCTGCGTTGGCGATCAACATTGATGTTGCCCACCTTCCACCACGTGGAGGTGCAGATTCAGATTTTTCCTTCATCGAGATTAAGACCTTTCGGCATTTCCTAATCCCTACAGAGCTTTAGAAAGTCAAGTTTGTGTATTAATTCATAAAGTCAAGCTTTCTCAAGTACTTACAAATGTTGCCCTAACACTGACCGAAGATGTACATGACTATCATACTAGGCAAAGGGGTTCTTTTTGGACTGGAAGAATTCGAACTTCTGGTGCGCAAAGAAGACTAGGTATACTCAAATGGCCTTATCTTGTATAAGCTGCGCAGTAATATGAAATAAAGTCAACTAGGAAGATTTAAATTTGAACTAAAACAATTACTTTTTGATAACTACTTTAAGGCCAATCAGATTTGAATCATTTAAATTTCTTATTTTATACAGGGTGAGTCATAACTATTGGGACATAGACTAAGGACAGGTTATTTTCACCAAAATATGGCTATTGGGCCAAATATGCCTTAATAAAATGTTGCTGAGAAAAAAGATACAGGGTGTTAAAGGTAATTTTTGTTTTTCATTTTTTGCTAATAGTTTCCCTGTATATTTATAAATTGCTATCAAAATTGGCACAGAGGCATAATCTTAGACAAGAAATAGTATTTTATTTACAATTTTACGTTTTGTCATAGAGGGCGCCACGTGGAACATTCCTAATGATCAAATTGGGTCTAAACTTTTTCCGATGAAACTTTTTAGTAATTTTTATTAGAAAATATGACGTAAACATCATTTTTTCGTAAAATTGGTACTCTTGTTTAAACATGATAATTTTAACCGTTTTCGATAAAAACGCAGTCGAACTGATTAGAGTCTGAAAAAAGGATTTCAAATATTATTTCATTTAGAAAAGTATGCTTTGGACACTCAGATAATTGTTGTTGGTAAATGTCATTTGTTCAGAGTAAATTATTTTTTGATGTGACAGTGTAGTGTAATGTTGCATTTTTTAAAAGTAATCAATACTTTTTTTGATTGAAATGCCTCGTCACAATCATTTTACTAATAAAGAAATGCGAGATATGATTTGAGTATACGTGCAAGAAAATTTTTGCGGTCGCTCGGCAGCCAGAAGGGATGGAATGTTATACGCAAACAGAAGGCAACCAAATCACAAAACTTTTGCAAGATTATATCGTAGTTTAGGTGAAACTGGTTTATTTCACACTAAAAATCGGGGTGGTCGACCGAAATAAATCACACCTAATCAAAAAGATGAACTTTTGGTTCGAGTAGATGAAAATCCTGAAATAAGTTCACGACATCTATCAGCAGCAACAGGAGTAAGTCAGTCGTCTATTGTTAGAATTCTAAAAAAAGAGAACCTCCATCCTTATCACTTCACTCCTGTTCAAAATTTACTTCCAACAGATCTTCCACGACGGTTACAGTTTTGCCAACGTATTCCGAATAAACATCGCAATGACAGACACTTTATTAAGAATATTATGTTCACCGACGAAGCAACTTTTACCAGACGATGGGTTTTTAATCGGCGAAATAGTCATCATTGGGAAGAAGAAAACACGCATCCTATTAAAGCTAGACATTTTCAGCATGAGTTTAAATTGAATATTTGGTGTGGCATTATAGGCGACCAACTACTAGGGCCTTATATTCTTCCTCCGAATTTAAATGGAGATTCTTATTTATTCTTTTTGGAAAATACTCTTGGTGATATTTTAGATGATCTGTCACTGGATGTAAGAAGAAAAATATGGTTTATGCAGGATGGAGCGCCGCCTCAGTTTTCATTAGCTGTTAGAAATCTTAATGACGTATTTCCTCAACGATGGATTGGCAGAGGCAGTGATTTTCAATGGCCACCAAGAAGTCCTGAGTACAACCCGATAGATTTTTATTTTTGGGGACATATGAAGTCCTTAGTTTATGCCAATGAAATTAATACACGAGACGAACTTTGGAGATACATTCAAAATGCAGCTAATCTGACAAGGGGACAGAATAATATTTTTTTAACGTCCGAAAATCCTTTATAAAAAGAATTTGAAAAGGCAGAGAAACCGGAGGAGACCATGTAGAACATTTAGTTTGAGTTTTTGTGAGTTCTTTTAAGTTAAAGTGTGTTTAGTTTTGATTTATCGTCAATACCGAAACCTTACGTTAGTTGCAACTTTGTTTATTAGTTTGGTATTTGACAGTGGAATTGTAAATAAAATACTATTTCTTGTCTAAGATTATGCCTCTGTGCCAATTTTAATAGCAATTTATAAATACACAGGGAAACTATTAGCAAAAAACGAAAAACAAAAATTAACTTTAACACCCTGTATCTTTTTTCTCAGCAACATTTTATTAAGGCATATTTGGCCCAATAGCCATATTTTGGTCCAAACAACCTGTCCTTAGTCTATGTCCCAATAGTTATGACTCACCCTGTATTTTGAATTAATGAAAAAAACTTTTCTGTATTAACATAGATTCTTCTTCTTCGAGTTCCACTCCTATCGGAGATTGGAAATCATTCTGGCAATTATAATTTTATTGGTTACTCGCCTGAATAGTTCAATTGAACTGCATCCAAACCATTCACGGAGATTGCATAGCCACGAGATTTTACGTCTTCCTACGCTTCTTCTACCTTTGATTTTACCCTGCATTATATTCCTTAGTAGTTCGTACTTTTCACCTCTCATTATGTGCATTCCAATTTCCTGATTTTTATGGATTCCAATCCATATCCCACTCCCAATCCCTAACATAGATTACTTAATCAAATTTTGTAACTCAAAATATCTGATTTAAACTTTGTAAGACCAACATCGCTACGGCTCTTGGTTTATTCATGTATATTTGAATTAAACTTGTATTTTGTGAAATTAATAAACTGAAAAGTAATAATTTGTATCTCAAAAATCAGATTTTTGTATTATTAAACTGCCCCACCTACACAGTTTCAAGTCAGTTATCGAAATGTGACAATTCCGGTTGTTTTTGCTGAGTCCATTAGACACTTCTGACGAACAAATGTTTGTATTATATAAATAAGTTGCTGTAGAAAGTGGTAAAAGATAAAACAATAAGCAAAAGAAGCTGAGGACCAAGGAAAAGCTGGAAAAATAGATTAGAAGAACTGGAATTGAAAACTAAAAGTAAGAAATGAAAGATTTCGCGAACAATTATAAAGCAGGTAGAAAGTGTGCTAGGAGCGTAAAAGAATTTAAATGGCATAGAAAAATATAATGTTTATATTCTTGATTTTTAATATTGGTATTTTTTTTTTCAGAAATATCAGGTCCCCATGTTCCAGAAATTACTATAGTTAGACCGCATGCCTTGTCCGTGCATTCATACAAAGCACCGACGTTTTGTGATTTCTGTGGGGAAATGCTGTTTGGGCTGGTCAGACAAGGGCTCAAATGTGACGGTAAGTACAACAATAATAATTTCTAATAAAAATAACTCAATTATCAGGTGTATGTGGTTGCCGTGGTTTTTATTTATTTAGAAAAGATAGTAATGTAATTATCACTATTTTACGACGGTGTATTTTGATTTCGTAGTTAAAATAAACTTTTAAAAAACCGCAATACGCAAGAAATTACCGCGAATATAAATAGTGTTAATTATCATAATTCGAAGAAAACAAAATATAGTGAAACATGTGATTCGGAACATGTTTCTTGTGATATTACACTTTTTTACTGTATTACTTTATAACCATAACAAATCATAAATACTGCAATTTAACATATATTGGACAAACACATAAAATATCCACATAGAAGGGTTGTTGGACACAAATATAGTGTACAAACCAATGCATTAAACACAACAACCCTAGCCAAACACTCTCTAGAAAATAGCCATTCTTTTCATTTTGAAAATGTACGATTTTAGAAAAAGGACAGAGCTATAAAAAAAGTCTACTTATGTCTCCAAAATCTTCCCACTTTCAGTGGTTCGGCCAGAGGTGCCGTTAATAATATGATGGGGCTTTTTGGCACTTAACTGTGTATTTAGGGTGCACAAAAGCAGGAGAATGAGGTAAATATCTGCCTCTTGGTTTTTTGGAGAACTACTTCAGTATCTAGAGAGAAAGATTTATATCTATGGTTTTTTCTGAGAAAATTGGAGAAACCATTTCTAAGATGGAAAGCAAAATGGCAAATATAACGTAATTTAATTAAAATTGTGGTTTATTCCTACTACATATAGTAGTTAATGCTTCTTAATGAAATATATATTGAAACAGTACCTGCATTATACTCAGATGCAAAAAAACCCAACGGACAAAATGTTGGTTACATTCAAAGTATTTCAGTTTTTTTTTATTTTTAGACCTCTTTTGACGATTTTTTTAGCACACTTTGTAAAAATGTATAAATCTTAATTTAGTATAGTGAGTTTTTGAATACAATTTTGTATTTGGCTCATTATACGGGGTTAATCGAAAGGTGGTTTTTTATCCTAACTTTAAAACATTATGTGGAGTAATTCCGTTAGCGGATTTTCCTAAAACCTTGTTTTTCGGTTGCAACCATGTCTTCTAAGTATTATATTTTTTGTTTCATGTGAAAATGTGGATTGGTTAATTTTTAGAAGCGAAATGACTTTGCCACCCACAATTTACGACTTTTCCTATTATTAGACCATTATCTTTTGTACTAACTTGTTGTAATACGACGATGGGGGCTTTGGTGACTGATATCGACGGAATATCATATCGATATACCAGAACCACTGTATTTAAATAATGATTAAAAGCAACGACATGATCTTGGTTTGAATGAACAATGATAACAATAACAAAACATAAAAAAAAACTTAAATGTAACTTAACCTGAGTAGACCAATACCTGCGACCGAAAAAGACGAAAAGAAAAAAAACATGAATGACCGACTCTATATTACAAATAATGGACAGAAGAAGAGAATCCAAGCGGAAAGACTACGTTGCATATCAATTTCTAGACAAAGAGATAAAAAAGCTGCCAGGAATGTTAAAAATAGAAATCCAGAAGAACAGTGTGAAGAAATCGAGATATTGGAACGAAACAGAGCAACGGCTTTCGCACAATCTTTGACAATAAGAACCATGATCAATCATAGTTAAACAAAATGTAACTGTCAATATGACATAATGATAACATGTCACCAAAGCCACCTCGTCGTATTACAAAATAACTCCAAAATAATCATAATTAAAAAGTCCTAAATTGTGGGTGACAAATTTATTTGGCTTTAAAAAATGAACCAAGGCATATTTCGACATGAAACAAAAAACACAATGCTTAGGAGACATGGTTGCAACTGAAAAATAACGTTTTACGAAAATTTGCAAACGGAATTGTTCCACAGGATGTTTCAAAGTTAGGATAATAAAACCACGTTTTAATTAACCCCTCACAATAAGTCAAATATAAAATTTTATCAAAAAACTGACTATACCAAATTAAAATTTATGAATTTATACACAGTATGCTAAAAAAATCATCAAAATAGGGCTAAAAATAAAAAAATTGAAATACTTTGAATTTGACCAAAATATTCTCCATTGCGTTTTTATTGCATCTGAGTGTAGTAATTATGGGTATCTAAGATTCAATAAAATTCATAAATTCTAAACGAAATAATTAAAAACTTACATTTTCATATATTTTTAGGTTGTGGTCAAAACTACCATAAGCGATGTGTGATTAAAGTCCCAAATAACTGTTCCTACAATTTGTTGGACGAAAACGAGAAACAGAGACGTAGGTCAACATCAGCGAACCTGCAAGTACCCCGCAGCCCTTCGGGGGGCTCGAATACTTCACTGGCTTCGGCGAGTTCCACACAAACCGAGGACAGTGGCCTGGTAAGGTTTGCTAATTTTTTCACTGGAGTTACCCTGGATTAAAAAGATTGAATATTTTTATAGTTGATCACAAAAGAAAGGACTTTCTATTTCTGATGTGGAGCTATTTTTTATCTTTAATAGATCTGCTTCTTCCTTTATTCATTTTTAGTTGTATCTTTTCTTTTTTCCAAACAAATGTCTCTACAAAAGGAATGTTTTTTTGGAACACCATAGATATTGATAATTTAATTATGTTGTTTTTGAACAGTGAATATTTATTTTGAATCTTCCTTATCATAGCATCTAGTTTTTACTCAGTGATATTATTTAATTTTAAGCTCTAGCAGATCTATTTTTTTTTTATCGGAATGTCAATTAGGAAGGCATTTTTTAAGATACATTTTTAAAGAACAAAAACTCGAAAGACTAATTTTAAGACAGCTATTTTTATATTTAAATATATCACTTATTATTACTCTAGGCTTACTACGTATAACAATTGCAAAGTATTATGTATCTTTTATAGAAAATTTTATATAATTCCGTCCAATATTGTACTTATTTTTATCTACTATCAGTGTACCCAAACTATACCGAAGATACTGTATCCAATTTATATATACTTGCGTGCATAGAAATCGGCCCACTGTAAACTTTTGACTTTAACTATATTTTTTTCAAGAAATATTCATCAGATCACAAAAACGAATATACTGTTTGAAAGACAATTTAATATGCTTTAATGTGAGTATAAATTTATGAAAACTTATTTCGGCTTCCTATGTTTAACATAGTAAAATGAATTCATTAAGCGAATTAAGCTTTTTTATTATTAACATAAATAGGGTTATTGACAATTTAAAACTTAACACTTAATTTTTTAATAATGGGTATTACCTCCTCTTGCCCTAATAACATCTTTTATACGATTAGGCATAGATCTAATCAAGTTTGCTATTGTTGCTTGTGGGATGTTAAGCCACTCTTCTTCTGCTGCAAGAATAAGCTCTGGGATCGAGTCCGGGGTATGAAGTCTAGCTCGAATTCTTCGTTTTAGCTCATCCCATAAATGTTCGATCGGATTTAGGTCAGGACTGTTTGCTGGCCAGTCTATACCCTGAAAACCGACTTCTGCAATGTAATCTTGCACGATTCTTGCGGTGTGTGCCCTTGCATTGTCATGCATAAAGATAAATTCGTCTCCAATGTAGTCGACGTAAGGTACCACATAAATTGCTAAAATCTCCTCGATATATCTGGCAGCCGTTAAACCTCTTCTTCCGTGAACACGGTCGTCCCTACGAATGAACTCAAGATCGGTTAGTGCTCCTATAGAAATTGCACCCTAGATCATGCAGGAACCACCCCCATAAGCACTCCGCTCTTCAAAGCAGCATTCTGCAAATCTCTCTCCTGGTCTCCGGTACACTTTCCTTCTTCGGTCGCTACTATAGAGGCATATTTTGGTCTCATATGAGAACAGGACAGACCCCCATTGTTCCAACGTCCAATTCCGATGATCCTGTGCAAAACGCAGGCGTGCTTGCCGATAAGCTGGAGTAAGTTTTGGAGCAATCGCAGGTGTTTTAGGGGTCAGGTTATTTTCCCGCAGTCTTCGTCTCACTGTCCACTGACTAACAGCCACTCTTCGCACCTCACGGAGCTGTCATTGCACCTGAACGGCATTAAGGTGACGATTTCTTAACGTTGTTGACACAATAAAGCGGTCATCACGAGCGGTTGTAAATCGCCGTTTGCCTGTTCCAGGTCGCCTATGAAAGGATCCAGTCTCCTCATAACGTTGGCACACTATTCGAACCGCTGCGCGTGTCATATCCAATTGTCTAGCAACAGCTCGCTGATTAAGTCCATTTTCGATTAGAGCAATAACTTGGGCGGCTTTTTGTGGCGTAGTATGCATTAAACTAACACACTTGAACACTGCTGAGATGAAAAACGAATAATATGCAAATTTCACTTGCAAAGGCAATACTTTTACAATTAGACAAATTTGTTATTTTCGTGACAATCACCACATAAACACGTTTCATTTGTTTACCGGTTACTACGCATGTAAACGATAAGCTTTCTTGATACATTTATACTATACTTATGCATTAAAGCATACTAAATTGTCTTTCAAACAGTATACTTGTTTTTGTGATCTGATGAATATTTCTTGAAAAAAATAGTTAAAGTCAAAAGTTTACAGTAGGCCGATTTCTATGCACGCAAGTGTATTTATTAATAAATATTCAAATGGTAGGAGAGGAGGGGCCACTTTTGAACGTTTTCTGAATTCTAATTTTGATTTTAATTAACCATCTGCTATAACCATCTGTTATAGGAAAAGAGAAATCTACTGGAGCTAAACCAAAAAAGACCGCCGCTGCTATTTGCGGAACTTCTGAAATTTCTGTTATTACAAATCGTTTCATCCAACCTAATCTAGTTGCTCCCGCCCTGAATATCTAAATGGAGATGCAGCCAAACCATTCTCAGAGGTTTTTTGTCTTCCTCCCCATTTCCTTCTCTCTACTTCACCCTACATGATTAGCTGAAGAGCATATCTCTATTCTGACACTGAACTGTCAACTGTCACGCGCCTTGTATTTTTCGTTGGCTACACTTAAATGGCGCCAAATTCTAATACTGCAAGAATTTTACAGCATTGTTTATGTATCAAAACTGCCAATTTATTCTTGTTTATATTTTATATTTGAACTGATCCGTCTTTATCGGTTATAAACAACATCATTGATAGTAGATAAAAACAAATGAATGTGTATATTGTATTAAATTGTGATATTTGACCAGTTGTTCTCGGTCTGTATTTGTATTGTACTAGAAAACGACAAAAAAAATCGTATAATAACAAGTATTAAATTTACTATTAAGTATTGGTGAAGGTATTTTTATATTCATGTATTTTATATATAATTTTATGTATTTTTATGTTTTTATTTTTTGATTAAATATTTTTGTTATTTTATTTTGTTTTATTCCAAAAGAGTAGCTTAGTTTTCCTCTTTTTTTTTGTCATTTGTCTTTCATTGTTTAAATCATCTTTCATTTGAAATGCTTCAGTATCGATTATTCGAATAAAAGTACATTTTTGGATAGATTTTTTCAAAAATGTAGTTTTAACACTTTATCGTGTTTTCTCGATTTTTAAATAGCAATAGAGATGATGGAAAGCCCGAAAGCTAATCTTCTTTTTTGGAATAAATATTATATGAAATTTAAAAGTAAATAACTCCTTTCTATCATCTCTAAAAAGGTCGAGAACAGCTTAGTCATGTATTTGTTTAAAATCACCTCTACTTCCCACACCATGCTACTAGAATTGACAACGTAGCAATGACAGGTTAAGGTACTATATAATAATAATATATAATGTTCAAAAGTTTTATAATAGTATAAAAAAAGTTTGATTGCCATATATAATAGATAAGATACAAAAAAATTGTTGAAAATGTGCCATTTTTAGCATTCTAGAAGGTAATAATACCTTAACAGGTTTTACAGGTTGACTGCCAGCCTCTTTTTCCTTGCATTACCAAAGAGTCATTTGAGTGCCACATATGGTACTCAGTCCAAAAAATAAGTTCAAATATTGAGTGCCATAATATATGGTACTGAGTATAACTTACAAAACTACATGCAGTGTACCTAAGCAGTCACTCGGCTTGTATATTTTATATGGAAAAATTAAAGTTTTGGCCTCAGAAAACCGTTCCATGATTTCAGCCCGTAGCCAGATGATATTATACTTTTTTTTATAAAGGTCGCTTATCAAAGTGCAATAGAAACGGTGCAAAAAAAAATAGTCGAGAACTTAACATAAATGCTAATAAAGAAAAATTACTGTAGTTTGGCAGCATGCACCTTAAAAAAGCAGTTAGAACACAAATATTTCGCGCAAGCAAAACACCTTGATCATACAGGTGGAGTCTCCTTTTGTGCTGTTTGTCTTCCATGCTTGGTAACAATATACCTATAGCACTGGCTGTAGCGGTTCCTTTTTAGACATTTTACTAAATTGTGTAAATTTCCTCTCTAAATTATGTTAATTCCTCTCTCTAAATTGAGTTATAGTACATTTATAGTACATTATACTCTAAATGTCACTTTAGAATAAAGTGACAAAGCATTTACAACGGCAACATTTAGTAAAATATCAAAGGCAACTTTTCGGTACCATTTCAATGACCTCCTTGAAAATGAATTATACGAATTCATTTGATCCGATATATCTATGAAGGATTTACCTGCATTATATTCTACTACAACCTGCGGTTTAAGTTTTTCTTCTCTTCTTTGTATCACATTTACCATAGAAGGCATATGCTTTGCACTTATAGTAAGCACATCTCATCGATCCTTCCACTTTACAACCATTACACTATTATCATTTTGCCTTGCAACAATATCCCTTTTTTAGTTTTATTTTAGTAACACTAATTGGATTGCGGTTCCTATTGGCTCGAAGTGTCCCTACTAAAAAGGTTTGTTTATCCAGTTTGCTTATTTTTCTGCAAAAGTGACAGTATTATAACCGGTTTTTTCGCATATAGTGTTCTACTAACACCTAAATATGGCTCCATTAATTCCATAACCACGTTTCGAGGATACAGATATACCAGGCTGAGCTTTCTTTCCAGAATAAACTTTATATTGGAAACTGTAAAAAGGGTCGGTGCACAACTTAAATTTTAACCCCATACCGATGCCTTTTCTTTTGCAGGTGCTGCCTAAAACTTAGCCTACCTTGAAATTATACCATCGACTCATCTGTACACAGTAACATTTTGGGAATTACACAGTAATTAAACTTATCCACTAGTAAGTCAATAAGGGGCTGAACCTTGTGAAGCCGATCTCGAGGAACCTGTGTTGAGTTATCCGAAATATGAAATATGGTGAAAATAATTATATATTTTACTAATTAAAACCTAATGTAAAATGTTGTAATGGTACCTCCTAAATGTGGGCTCAGAGGACTTCCCTGAAATAAT